AGAGCAATAAAGGGGGAAAAATACTTCAAGGAATCGCACGTGACATATTTCCTTTATGTCGTGTGCAATACTGGCTTTTTAGTTATTTATTTTCAGCTCTTTTATTTTTTATTTTATAGATTTTAAGTCTACAGGAATCAGGATACTATTTATTTACTATCTCCTTAAAAATTACGAAGAAGTCTAATTGTATGCCTATAATAATGGCTAAACAGTGCTAAATACAAATTATGCGTATATTTACGGTGAGAATTTTTTTTAACATTCGAATCATAATAAAACCAAACGTTTTATCTAAATTTAACTTTCATTGTTAATATTGAACCAATCATGATTACGCATGAAACTCAGGCATATTCATTATGTAAATGATATTTTATACTTATATCGATCATTCGATATTCATATTTATCAGTTGACAATAATGTACTGCACGCCAATCGCACTTATCTGATAAAAGTTAACGAACTACAACGATCAATGCGCACTTAATGTGCATTTACAATATGCATAGGTAACTGGGCACACTATAGCGCAAAGTTCCGTTGCAATTATTATTATAATTATTGCGCCAATACATATTATTATAATACATATACAGTCGTAATATTTTTTGATTATTATTCGAACACATGGTTAAATATTAAATAATTGTTTTTTGACGGTTATGGGAAAAGCTTTTATTGGGGGGGGGGTTTAATTAAAATTAATTTCACTCAATGGTGGAAATTGCAGTATAGTTTTTAAAAAATTAACCGGGACCTTGTTAGGACCGCGGGTACCTAATGAAATACAATTGATTTTATCGTTTATAAATCGCATTCCAATCGAAATATATCGTGACGCGGTATATTTTAGACGTTTGATATTATTTAATTTTTACACGGAGTCATTGGAATAACCTATATGAGATAACTCATAACAGCAAATGTTATAGCGTACAATAAACGATGAATCGGCAAACACGCTACCGTTTATATTATCGGTTTCATCCCAAACTAATATCGAATAACACCTATAATTGATAATTACTTTTTTTTTTTTATATTTCGTTTTAAAAACAAAATGATGTGACAAATAATTGTTTTAACTTAAATGATTAAATGATTATTATTATTTTCTACTTTTACAGGTGAAATTTTACTTTTTTTTATTAAGTAGCGAATCCTACTTTATGCATTTGTCTGTCCGCATACATTGTGTTTATGTCTCTATCTCTCGTACGGTTGTGAATTTCGGAACGTGGTCTTCACAAAACGATCAGTTCGGTTCTAAAAAAGATTTCATTGAATTTAGCCTTAGTCAGTGAAAATCGGGAACTTTCGTCACTATTTCGATACTCCAGTTTGCATAGGATTTTTTATGCGATTTATTTATTCACATCAGTTAAATAAAATAAGCATATTAAGTTTTACTGTAGTAGAAAGAAACACACGTAGTGATATATATAAGTCTTATAAAAATTAACTCGTGGTTTACGGATAATATTATAGCGTAGAGATATTCAATTTTACTTGAGAAATATGATTAAACTTTTTATAAACACTGACAAAAAATTAATTAACTTTATAATGCATTAAAATTATTTTTTATTGTTGTTATTAAGATCTCATAAAAGAAAAAAATACGACGAGATTGGACAGTTTTATAATTGGGTTATTAATTGTTTTGCGACAAGTTATCGATAAATGCAATTAATTAAAATGTTTGTTATTATTTCGATAGTAATATTCATTTATCTCATAAAATGTAATACGTGATTGACAACTAACTCGGTATAGTCAGGCAGGTCTTATTAATCTGGAAGAATTGATTAATTTTGTATTCGATTAGAGATAGTAATATTTTATAGACATTTTAATCTAATTTATTTTGGTGGAAAAAAAATTAATAATTTTTATTCACCCAGTAATTTATGTTTATAACCTACACAATGAAACGAGTTTTCTTTGAAATCTAGACTCCTGAAATAGTGAAAACCATTATTAACTATGCTTTCCAGAAAGAAAAATAAAATAATTCGTAACGTTCCTTCCCTTAAATACAACATCTAAACTTGTGTACACGACTCCAGCTGTTTAAAAATTCTACGGAGTAAAGTGGATTTTTGTGTTTCAAAAATTAATGTTAATGGTATGGGAAGTCAGGTAATTTAAGATTAAAACAGTATGGATTTGATTGTCGAGTAACCAAACGAATAGAGATCTATTAAGATTAAAAATTTAAAAGTAGGGGTCTAGTTGATTATGATTTATGTATTCTTTATTCAGCCAAATTAAAAATAAATAAACGAATACAATTCGCACTTAAGTTAACTAAGGAACTTCAGTTTTGATGCGGGTTACTAAGTGCAAACTGTTATTCGAATAAAATAATTGCATTAGGAAAATTATTTTAATTGGGGGTTCAGGATTTTTGAATTTCTTGAATGTTTGCCGGTATATTTTTCCTAACGGTTTTTACTAAACCTTTTTAAATTTATTACGGGATGTTTTTAATATTTTAAGTTTCTGAATAAAATATTCTGAGTAGTAACTAACATAGTACATACATATAGAGACTCAATAAACTAACATCTTTACAATCTCTATGTTAATTCCTTTAGAATTCCGAAATACGATTCATCAGTGGCGGACGCAAGGGAGGGGCGGTTGGAGGGTTACACCCCACTCTCTCCCATCGGCTTGAAAATACAACAGCTGTGAATATATTTTAGTAATTTAATCCTGAAATGTGTATATCTTTATATAAGAGCTGGATCGAATAAAAATTCGTTTTTGTTGGGACCGGTATTTAAATTAGGTACCAATTTCGGATTATGTACGAATGACGTCGTTACTCGTTACTCGTTATTATTGTGTACTGCACCGCTTCACGTTGGAAATTCTACGCTATTGGGATTTATAAAAAATTAATCAGTTACAGTTATCTCGGTTAGGCGATTTTTACCAACAGTTATTATAACATCAATGAGTAATATTAATAAAATGGAAATCGTCCGATGGCCAATACCGTTATTATTATACGATATAATAATACATTATTGATCGTTGAACGTGTAATATACTAATATATACCTACGCCCTACATCGGAGTTCGATATGCATATTTATAACCGTTCAAATATATGATACCGTGTAATATAAGCGACCGGGAAATCGCGATAATAATATTATAACATGCCTTGTGATGGAATTTCACTGTACACACCGGCTATACGTGTACTCTTGTTCCACCTGCAGCCCCTCCAAAGTTGTACATCACATTTCGAAACTTAATTAATGCCACAATGCAATAGTACGGACCATCTAATTGCATTTGAAACGGCCGAACGAATTAAGAAATTGTATTAAAATCGCGAACACAACTTGCGATAATGTACATAATGCAGTTAAATGCGTATAATGATGTTATAGAGAGTACGGCTCATTTTATCACGATATGCGTACCTTAATATATTAGTTTAAACGTTTCAAACTTATTATTATGTATTATAATAATAATTACGATCGATATCACCTATTCGCGTTATGTATTACACTATATCTATAATTTTCTTAAAGATAAATATCTTTTGATGTCGCGCGGATAAGCGACAAGATTTCTTTTAACACAATATTAAATAAACCCACGATGTATATATAGAAGGTCTACGTACAATCCGGAACGTGCCTCCGTGTCAGAATACTCGGAACGATTCGGCGAAAAATGTGTTTCTCGTAAAAAAAAAAAAAACCCATATAATCTTTATGTCAGGTGTACAATATGCAAAAGAACTTATATAATAGAGCACCCTTACCTTAATAACCATCATCGATCATTGATAAAATAAAAATAATAAAAAAATAAATTAAAATACAGTCCACGCGAAACGAATTTCCCTATTGTCATGCGTGTCTCCGGAAACACAATATTTATCACAATAAAAATACAAATCTGTATACATCTACTGCTCGAAACTGTCAAGAAAATAAGCTGTTTGAGCGCGTTTTTATCATACATAGTATCATCTGTCGATGATGCTATAGGTATATATACAAATATAATTTCTTGCCTTGTGAATGTTGAATTTATAGTTTTTCGAAACATTAAAATCTATGATAATATTTTACTGTTACACGAAAATAATATGATTTTTTAATAAAAATGAACCAATTTGCGTGGACCTATATCATATCAGTGACGCAACTTGGAGAGGTAGTTTAAGAGATATTTCTTCCTCCCTTTCGAAATTAGAAATATATTTTTATTAATTCTACGCAATGTGTGTAAATAGTTGCAGACCCGTCTTTATGGCACCCGCAATTCGTCCTATCTGCTTCAGATCAGCATTATTTTAATGTTCTCGATTTATATTCATTTCTATTTATTTTAAAAAAATCCGATCCATTTTTTATCCTGAGGCAGAACTCTAGTAATGCGCCTCCTGGGTAGTGGGGGTGACACACTTGCATATAATAATATATACATATGTATTATTTTTTTAAAATTAGGTTTCGAGCAAAACAAGAAATAATATTTTTAGCCACAAGTATATAATTCTCAACTCCTTATTTTATAGTAAACAAATCAATTTGAAATTTACAAATTTATTAGATATTTCAAAATAATAATTAATAATAATAAAAAATAAAATAAAATAATTATTATTTATAACTGAACTTCCCTTGCTTTTGTGTTTGCAAATTTGTTAATAACTTTTTCATAACCCAATTTACTAGCGATTTCTGTTTCTATTGAAAGAATGGCCATGCTTAATAACCTCTTCTAAATTATTGTAGATTTTAAGTCAGTTTTAATCAATTTAAGTTTGCTGAAACTCCTTTCACATGAAGATGTTGTGACGGGCATTGGAAGAAAAATCCTACTATAGAAATTTCAATACTTAGATACAATTTTTTAAGCTTATAATCGAGATTCATTTGTATGAAATCCAAAAACTTTACTGAATCAATATTTGGTAAAATTGATAAGGCTGCATGTTTAAAATCTTTAATTTTTTAAACTGTTTCCGCAGTATTTAAATCTTCATTATATTTTAGTCCTCGATCAGCAGCTGCTTCTTGCAAATCGTGTGAATTCATATTCGTTAATGAATTACCGGAATGGAATTCAAAATTGTTTAATATTTTCCTAATTTTTCCAGACCACCATGCCATCTGAGTAAGAAGAATATCTGAATATTGAGTCTATAATGGTAATTTGAAAATTTTGTTCAGCAGAAATATTTATCACATCATCATCTGTTTCATGAAGTTCTAATCTTTTTCTTTTTTTTATTCTTTATTCCTTTAAAGCATTAAAGTTGTTTGTAATTCTTGTGCAACTTTTGTAGCATTTGTAAAATTGTTTTCTATAGTTTTGTTGCCAATTTCCTACAGAGAATTTTTAAGCCCGAGTAGCAAATCGGTTTTTTTTAAACGATAAGCTTTTTTTTTGTAAAGCTTGATTAACATGATCTATAATACTTACAATTTTATTTCAAATATTAAGTAAACGGAGAAAATCAAAATTGATTAATTGAAGTAAATTTTTAGCTGTTGATTTTGTTTCCAAATTAAGTTCTGAGTCAGAAATATTTTGTAGCACCTTAAATACATCTTTTATTTGTGAGTTAAAAGTCTTAATAGCTTATGGTTTTGAAGCCTATTTGATATCTGAATAAAGTTTAAACGAAATTTTCAATGTACCAATTAAAATTTTCCATCGAGTTGTTGATTAAAAAAAAACTTATATATTTTCTGAATCACATAAAAAAAAAAAAAATTGTATCTTAAAGCATTAGCTTCATGTACGCCACTTAAGTTAAGGCAGTGAACAGCGAATGGAATGAATGTGGCTAAATTGTTTTTACTTAATACGATTGTCTGATAGCTATGGTATTTTCATGACATATTAGCTCCATTGTCATACCCCTGCTTTCGTACATTTTGTACATCGAGTTCATCAGCTTTTAATTTAAATAATATTTTCATAGTCAGCCCATCTCCAGTTTTTTCTTGTGTTTATAAAATCTACAACATTTTCTTCAACTGTAATTTTTCCCATTGTAATATCAACATAAAGAACCACTTCAGCCATTTGCTTATTATGTGACATATCCGGGAGTGTATTCAAACAACAAAGAAAAATAATTTAATTTTTTTTATTTTAGTTAATATTGCATTTCGAACTCTTCGCCCCAACAAACAGATAAATTAATTTTGTATTTTTAGATATAGGTAACTGATAGCTCCCTTGTTATGATTTACAAGATGTTGTTTTAGAATACTACCATATTTTCTGAGCAATTCTATTAAATTCAGAAAAATACCAGAATGTTTATTTTCTACTGTTGTGCTCGATCCTCCAAATGCTAAATTATTATTCGGGCAAAATAAAATTGCATTTTTGATTGCAGTTTTGAGATTTTTAACATAAAAAATTACATAAGAAAATTGCAATTCGGATTTCTTCAAAATACAAACAATATCCTTATCGTTTTACCTAGAAAATGTGATTGTTAGAAACCCATTTATTTTATATACCTACTATACACGTAGAGTAGAATGATGAACCAAAAAACAATAAATTATTATCTCGCATAGACAACGCCGAGACGTTTTTGGATATTTCATCGAATTCAATTTTCCACGGAAGCCATTGAGCATCACACGGAATAATAAAATAACACGACAAAAATATTTATTTTCTTTTATGTATTATTTGAAAGGTGAATCGACAAATATACTGGTTGTTCGTTTCACACAGCCAGTACGGGTACACCGGGCTCGACGCTAAAATAATATAATAACTATTTTCCATCACATTTGTATATTATATAAAAATATATATGTGCATATATTTTATTTTATTTGATTCTAAGCAAAATATGGAATACATAATACACTTACATATATACACCTGACGGAGGAAGAAATAGAGATTTATTGAAATGCTCGAACGAAATACTACCTACCGATATAAAAAAAGTTAAGTGGGTACACGTGTAGAAAATTCAAATATATTTACGAAACTCTTAAATGGACGGTACGCATGCGTATTATTTTGTCGTCTCCGATATCCGAACGCGCGGCATAGCGTTCAGTAGACTCGATTTCGTGCTGTTAATTTCAATACTAGCCAATTGACTTTTATTGAAATTTGACGGAAAATTATCTATGATTTTACGTTGGTTTTTTTTTCGATGTATCAACTTTTAAGCGAGACGTAAGCATTTTTAAATTCAAAAGTTTCACATACTTGTAAACTACGCTTAACAATGAATACAATTAAAAATTTACTGTTTCGTTTGAGAATCAAAAATTCGATTTAATATAATAAATCGTACTTTGTTAGTTTTAAAGAATGTTTAGTCACGACGGTTTTTATTTTTAAATTCTAGTGTAACACCGCCATATTTCGGTTTAGGGCAGTATTACAGTATACTTGAAAAGAAAAATGACGGCTATAAACTGACACTCATACAAAACAGCCACATATAACCTAAATTATGGCAAATAATCTTAAATTTCGGCTAAATTAACACCAGTATCATGAAAAAAAAAATAAAATAAATAACGGTTATAAACCGCCGTAAATGGCAATAATGACAGTTTTCAATTTTCAGAACATTTTTAAATTATGATTTATCGCAGGGCGATGGATATTTAAAAATTCTGTAGCGTTGCTTTCATTGAAATGCAAAAAAAAAAAAAAAGATGAAAAATTCATCACTGGCCCAACATTGTGTGATGCCGAGAATCATAATATTCCTGGTAGGTGAGTCTCGATTTCTGATTTCCGATAAACCGATTTTTTTTTCTCCTGATTTCTTCTGATATTTAAAAAAAATCTGATATCTGATTTTTACCGATATCGTTTAAATGATCCATCGATAATGTCAGTGTACTTTTGTTAGTAACGTATTTATTAAACTGAGTACCTATTTTTTCGAAAAATATCGGTTAAAAAAAAAAAAAAAAAATCGATAACCGATTTTCCGACATTGCCAATATAGGCAAGTATTCGATATCGAATCATGCCGAAGCTCACCTCTAATTAACGGCGGTCTAATCGTTTTGTAGAGACGATTTTTGCGATTCAACCGACACCACGTTAAAAGTGTCGAATTTTTCGAGTCGTGGCGGTCTCGTTTCCACTGGGCGCGTATTGGTCGTATACGATGTTTTTCTTTATCATAACTCGCGGTAATATTCTTCGCCCTTGTATTCGTTAATCGCGGTGTTTCATGTTATAATATATTATTCAGAAAGCGATTGACGTTTAATAAGAATCATCAAAACCGAAAACCGATAAATGAAAAAAAAAAATGTCTATAAATAGATCATTGCGTATGCATACGGGCGATATCTGGACGAACGATCTACTCGGGGTTAACAATTGTTATCGTTATGAAAGCGCGTAAACTGAAAAAAAAAAATCCCTCAAAAACATGGATTTGACTTAGTATATATAATAATTATTTATACGGTCGACGGTAAAAACGATAATAATAATAATTATATTTAAAATACGGGTTTATAGATTCTATCGTATCGCAAAGCGTTTACGGCGGAGTAGGTACCTAATTTAGTAAATATTTTTTAACAAAACGTTCGTTTTCGTACGGCTATTTATTTATTTATTTTTTTTTTTGTTTTTTCGGCGTTTAATTCGGACGTCCGTGGATTTATTTTTTAAATTAACCACCGCCGCCGTCGCCGCTAGATTTAATATATTAATTCGAATTAAATTTAAACCCGTTTACGGGATTAAATCAAGCGGTTTAAACGCTTGTATAATATAACCGTTTTTACACCAGACTGCGGTAATAATTGAACGCCTAAAAATATGATTGTGTCATTATAACGATACGTTATCAAAAAACGAAAAAAATTAAAAAAAAAATACTGAAATAATATTACGCTGTTACCTATACGTCAAAAACACGGTATCCCGTAAGTTTTGAAATTATTAATTCGCTTTTTGAGAGTTGTGAATTCTACGAAAATAAGTCTTCCGGTACTTCTGAAACTGCTGAACACCGTTTGTTTTTTTTTTTTTTTATAAATGTTTTTTAAACGAATTCTTAATTTCAATTTCGGCGTCGTTGTTCCGGTCGTCGCCGATTGTTTTTTTTTTTCGTTATTTGCCAGTACCTTTCGATAACGATAAGGCCGTATATTTTTCTCTCTCCGTGCATATTACTTTGTCCATACAAAGTCGGGAAATTTCGAAAATTTCACTTTTATTTTATAGTATAATATACACCCCTGTGAAAATAACCGATAACGATACTCAATTAAACGTGAACTTTCACCATCACTTATCGACGAGTAAAGTATCGAATTCCTTTCGAACGCTCGGCCAATAATTGAAACAGAATACCGACTGTAACACAATACGCACGATATTTTAAGTGTTTAAGTATCGGAATCGATAAAATGTTCAAATGTGTTGTACTTGTCCAATGCTCATACTTCTATTTGTTTGTATAAGAAGACGAGATTATACTTCACATCGATCGAACCGGGAACGCAAGTCACATTATTATTTTTCAAGAAACTCTCCGAAAACAATTCTTTACTTAGAGTCATTAGTTTAACGATCGTTTGTTTTACTATTTCGTCTCACTAGTATTTTTTCTTCTGAACATAAAGTCGGGAAATCCGAATAACGACCTTTATATGTATATATATATATATTATAAAGAACCGTTCGTTTTTAGGCATTATTTTTATTGTTTAAAATGAGTATTCGATAAAAAAAAAATATACACATTATTATTGCGATTATAATACGTACAGGTTCAAAATCGAAAATAATAATAGATACCTACGATGAACTCGGTATAAAAAATAAATGTCGCTTTTGTGCGTTCAGCAGTTTCCGATTCCCGTTCGTTGTTTTAATACGCATACCTACGCCTTTTGTGTACATTTACTCGAATATACCAGCAACCGTATTCGACTATTTTGAAAAAATACAATGCAAACATTTGCTTGGACATTCATGTTAGACAGCCAAATTAGAAAGATACAAAATAATATTACCTTCTCATAAAAAAAAAAAAAAAAAAAATAAAAAAACAATAATAATAATAACAATTTTAAACTTTTACAACATTTTAGATTCTGAGTGTGGCGTAGATTTTATTGGTTTTACAAAGATGGGGTTTTTTTTTTATTTGAACACTTATTCTACCAGAAAGCTATACTCCGCATTGTATACGATCTAATTTAACATTAAAATAATTGACAAAAAAAAAAAAAAAAAATAGTAATGATACTTATGAATTGGAGAAAACAATACGAGAATTTAATAACAATAAACCTATCTATTGGCTATTGCTGTAAAACAGTTTTGTTTTATTTTATTTTTTTTTTTTTTGAAAATTCTGATAAAAAATTACCCAGACAAAATATTTTTAACGTGAAAAAAAACCATTAGCAAAGAAACAAAATGTATAATTAAATTTAAAATTACCTGATAAAATGCCAATTTTTCAGTTCAGTTAACAGTGGTTCTCAACTTTTGTTGATTCGTGACACTCTTGACCACGACCATCCAACCTTGTGTCGCCCTACTATCAAAAAGCTTTTATATCCAACATTTATCGAGGGAAATCAGAATTAATATCACCTGTATAAGTAACACAAAAACCGTACGATGCTTTAATGTTACTTGCATCCGTTTGTGTTGAAAGAATAATAAAATTAAGCAAATTTAAATCTTCTAAACACTGTGCATATCTTTAAACCGACTAATAAGTTGAGATAAACTTTTATCCGTCACACGGAAAAATATTTTAACTTTAAAGTTTAAAGAGAACTCTTCAGTTGTGCTTTTGCTTCAGTTGTGTGGTATAGTTAATATTTATTTATATCATAATGCAATTATTTAAATACACAATAGACTAAACTACTATAGTGAAAAACAAAGTTGATATTGATGAATGATGATACCAGATAGCGGATACGTAATAAACAACGTCAAATTAATACAAGTTTAGAACGATCATGACAACACGATGGTCGATTATTGATTAATTTGATAATAATATTTGTGTAATGTATTATGCGCGTGCGGTGTGTTTATGGAAATAATATTATATCCATTGTTCACCGGCAACTGCCTCTACTTTCCAATCACTACCGGCAACGGCTCAGATTCTCATCGGAAACTGATTAATTTTCTTTTCCCGGCACCACCGGCACCGTCTAAGTTACCACGGCATTCGTCCTATGCCCGTTTAACAGTATATTGAATTCCCAGCGAGTATCGTTAACTTCTAAATATTGCATTGTGCTTTCGTAGTTAGGTAGTTAAGTTTATATCACGCGTTACGTATCCGGTCTCTTAAATGATTGATTGTAATTTTCTTGTGATCAATATATAATTGTTAAACTTTGTATACCTGAGTTGTATTTGTAAAAAATAAAAGACAACCTTTTGGATACCTGTAAATACACGTGTTTATATATTTTATGTTAACGACGGTTATCTAGCGGGAACGTTACAATCCGAACTTATATCGTCGAAATATTATGTTTACCCTGGGTCCACAGTATTGTTTAAATGCTTTAACAACACCATTAAAACTTTTGATTTTCTCTTAAAGTTATTATTTATTTTAGCACTATGCGGTCCCATAAACAATAACATTAAGCAAAATATTAATTTTGCACATCATCATCATCACCTTTTCCTTTATCCCTTTATTCCTTTATTCTGTTAAATTAATTTCAGACTGATGGTACCAATCTTTTAAATTCAGTCCAATATTACCTGTAAACGACAGTTTTGATGCATACCGATATTCCATGTTTCCAGTTTTCATCCGTATTAATCCTTTAATTGAGCGTTTTATTTCAACCTCGACTGCGCCATGTTTCACTTTATTATTTATATATTTTATACTTAAATACATTTTATTATTATTAAAATAACAGTATTTTTATTATTATTATTAAATTACAGTAATTTATTATTAAAACAATACAGTAATTAATTAGTACGTGATGTGTTTGGGTGCTTCATATATATTGAAGAGTGAGTGACATGTTTGACAATTTTTGTGCTTTTCTTCGATTTCACCAATTCATTTTCAAACACATTTAATTTCCAATAACAGATTATGAACGGGTTATTCGTTATCGACTCGTATAACTTATGTTGACTATCCAAAACGTGACCAGTATTTTTCAAATTAGTCTGGCAATAGGCAATTAGTTCGGACGAAAAAGGGCGAAATCCGTCGCTTTTCCTTGTTTCAACACCGAACCAAGGTAATATTTTACACTATCGAGATTATTAAACATTTTGTGTATCCAAAATGTCCCTCAAACACCGCCGACAGTAATCGCTGTTGATATAAAATAGGGCGTAATATTTTGCTACAATTGCCAATATCGTTTACCGTTTCGTCTAATTCGGGCGTACCAGTTTTAAAATCCATGTTTTTCGAGACCAGCATATGATCTGGCACTTGTGCGGATTTTACAGTATCATTCCCTTCGTACATTTTAGCGTTAAATATTTTGAACACGTGATTTTCGAACTAAATCAAATATTTTATTTTGTTAATAAAATAGGGGTTTAAAAAGCAATAGTATCATGGCTAGATTGTTTTATATATTTATACTTGCTAACGGCAATGCTTTGCTATTGCTAGATAATAATGTAAATAATAATAACAATATAATTTTCTTGTATGTGACAACCAAATTATCATCTGTATCACTAATGTAACCCATGAACAAATAAAAATTAACAAATAAATTTAATTGACGGCTATCCTATCTTCTAAGTTGGACCAAATCACACAAATTGAGCATTATTTTATCAAAATCGGTTGAGTAGTTTCAGAATGCATTTCATACACACTTGTTCATTTTTCAAACTGAATGGTTTTCTAATTACTATATTATGTTCGAGCTTCGTAATTTCATAATTAAAACTGATAATTGCAGACATTACAAATAATACAAAATTAAATGTATGAAAAAAAAAAAAATAAACAAACATAATTTTTAGAAATTTCCTGTGGAAAAAAAGAACGTTCAAGCAAACATCTCTGTACATGTTCTGTGTGTAGTTTTTTTTTCTCTCTCCGGAAATACGTGTGAACGAATAATAATCGTCCGCTTGTTAAATCGATCGTTGTTGTCGTTCCTCAATATTTGTATACAAAATTGTATTTTTCAGTGGTGGATGTCGGAAATCGGTCTTGTGACCAGTGCCAATAAATATACACGTTAATAAATGGACTATCATATAATTATGTCGCAGATGCGCGTTTGTTACCACGTAAAAATGACAGACTACGAAGACGTAAAGGTGCTATTTCCACTGCTGCCGTGTTCGCGTATTTTATGGTGACCGATTGACAATTCTAATTGTCGGAACCAAAAAGTGAAAAGACAAAATTGTTGAACACAAGTAGCTTAAATAATGTAAAACAAATGCATCGTTATTCGGTCATTCATTTTTTTTTTTTTTTTTTTTTTTGTAATTGGTTCTGTGATGAATGAAATATTACCAAAATCTGTTAATCTCCCCGATACGTCTCTGTTATTATTTTATAACATTTTGACGACACAAATATTATGCACGAGCGCGCACAAAACAACTATAGATTGTCATAGCATAATACAATAATACGATGAGTTGGTGTATGGCAAGGAAACAGACCGAACGGCCGACTTGACCTTTTGATAAGATATTATAATTACGTACATTGTCCGGAGTTCTTCGATAAGAATAATTAAGTGTTGGTATCTATACCTATACACCGTTCGTTATACCGCGCTGGCAGCTTCGTTGCTATGAACAGACGAAGTCGGCAATCTAGTCGTTTTGTTCATTCGAGAGTGAATATAATAATAATAATAATAATATGTAACAAGGAATACGGCTATTGTTCTCTCGCATTCAGTTTCTGCCAGTGTCTTTGAAATCGTGTTATACGCCATTTTGGTTTTACATTTTGCCGAGAATCTGTCAACGCGTTGACAACGTACAGTCTACAGAGACTATATTCTGCTATATAGGTAAGCACGATAAGTTTGTCATCAGCTGTATTAAACGAACAATAATTATATACACGCCAACAAACAAAGGTTCAATTAATGTGTAAACCGTGAAATCGTTAAAAAAAAAAAAGAAGGGCTGATATTTTTGCGGGCGTACTATTGTTTTACGAGACATGTTAAAAAAAAAGGATAAGTAGAGTAATTTAATTTATATATGTACGCGGTAAACCCCTGCTAACGAAAAACGATTCCGAACAGAGTATTATTATTAGTCGTATTCGGTCCCTTGTGGCCAACGTAATTAAGATATCAACAAAAAATTAGACAAACGCTTGTTAGATTTTCTTATTTATTAAGAAAACTATAAGAAAATAATATTATCACCTTCCATCAACAAAATCAAAAATACTACAAGAAATTTGTTACCAAGTTTTCGATTGGAGAAAGATTTTTGGTTGAAAAGTTGTTTACGGACATATACGTCAATGTATTGTAGTAAGACCAATAAATTCTTCGCTTTGCTCAGAATCTAAAAATTAAACGATAGATACCCTTGGTATTTGGGCTAGTCAATCGTTTTTTTCAAATTTTTGAGTTGTGAACTCGTCGTGATCTCTACTGTCGCAGTAACTTCTTAGAATCTCGGAAAATCTGATATTTCTTTTTTTGCTAGGTGTTCTATTTTCATATCGAATCATCAGTGATATAATTAATTCACTATACAAACGTAGAACAGTCAATCCACAAATTTAAATAATTAATTTGTTTTGTTAGAAATGTTCGTCAGTATCACAGACGCAATTTATTATTTATTGGTTTATGTATTTGCAACCAAAATTTATATTCGTTTCATTTTAGGTTTATAATTTAGTAGACATAATTCTGGCTCTCAACATTTTTGCCCGAATTACACCAAAGGGTCCAGCATTTTTCGGTATTAACGATAATCGAGTAGTTATTAAATTATAATATATTATTTTTTAGGATACCTACGTTATATTTTTTATAAAATAAAATAAACACGTATTTTGATTATTGATATTTTGATTGGCATTTATAATTTGATGTATATATATATATATATTGTGGTTCTAATCGAAAATCCCTCGAGCTCAACTAAATTTTTTTATAAATAATACAAAAAAAAAAAAAAAAATAAATAAATAAAAAAATAGGATAGTTTATTAATGTCAAATATTTAAAAATATTCTGGGAAATTAATTTCCAATATTTTATTCCGAAATATTTCATTATGAAACGTAGGTATAATATGTGTTTACATAACAAATTAATTTACTGAAAACTATCGATTCAACTGCCAAAAAGTTGTTTAATTAGTGAAAAATAATAAATCATCAACTAATATAAAAAAAGAATCAATATTTACATTTTCGATTGGGTTTTGATGTTTATTTTATTATTATAATAAAATGTATAGCTAGTTTTGAGCACTTTAAACTTGTTAATAATAATTAAAATTGTTTAATACATTTTTCTTTTTATTGTTTATAAGAAAATGGACGAAAAAACGTTAGCGTCAAAATAAATTATAGTAATTGTACTAAATGAAAAGCATAACTTATAGTATTAGAGGTAATGAAAATTATAATTAAATACAAGCACCATTATTACCAAGTTAGGCTAACAAATTTCGTCATAATAATATAATAAATTTAAAAAAAAAAAAAAAATCGAAAATTGTTAATACTGATGTACTTCCTTTTTTATTAGTTGTTGATTTATTATCTTTTATTAATTAATTTATACAACTTTTTGGCGATTTAATTCGATATTTTTCATAGAAACTGTTATTTTTCAGAAAACTAATTTATTATGTAAACAAGTAATAAATAATCCGTTTCAAAATAAATTATTTCGGAATAAATTATAATTACACTAAATTAAAAGCATAATTTATATTAAAGGTAATGGAAATAGCATCAGGTTATTATTATGTAACGTCTTGAACATGAGAATTCATAAATTAAAAAAAAAAAAAAACAAGAACTTCGTTACTAGAATCGAATTTTGTCCGAATACTATAATAATGTTAATATAATATTTGAAGAGTAATTCCAAAAAAAAAAAAAAATTGTTAAATTAGATCATATATGATGGAGGGTGGGATTGAAAGTTGAAAGGAATATTGAAAGGTATATTCTCGATACTAACGCTATGCACTATTAAATTGCGTATTCTTAGCTTAGTATAGACTGTGGAGGGTCTGTAAGGGTGTTCAAATATAAAAATACACCCTACTTCGGCAAAAGCACGGTGAAATTCAATCAAAATGTAATCACTTGTATTTGCCTATAGAAAAAAAAATATAAAACGTTAATTTCCGATTTTGTACTCATTTGGTCCAGTGAAGGCCACTAAAGGTGTTCAAAAGAAGTGGGATAAACTATATAATATACCTTTTAGATACACATATAGGACACGATACAGTGTAACATTTTCTATTTTTGAGAAAATTCGACAAAAATAAAAAGCAAAGATCGGTTGTTGTGAGGAGAAATTATAATGGCGTTTGATAAATAATACAAATAACTCCGCACGGTTTTTGTCCGTAAGACAATAACAACACTAGGTATTATTATTATTGATTCTGTTTATTTTATAAATACATTCGTTTTCGGATTGGAAAATTTTTTCGTCGCATTCAGTAGTCAGTCATTTGTGTGCCGTCGAAACACAATAATAATTATTGTGTTTGTAGCAATAATATAAATTCTCTTCAAGAATTAATGAAACTGTCACGGGATGGTTTGCGCGCACACAAACTCAAAACTATACGGTGGCGTGTCAAAATGCTTATAAATATTCGAGAGCAGTCAACTGGCGCAATTTCGAAATGTATACGCGAAAGTTTTATTCGCAAAACGCGAATTACCAATTCAACAAATCCTTCGATATTATTATTATTATTATTATTATTGTGTAATGTAAACTTTTGATATGCAAATATCACATTGTATGTTTATAAATCACCAGGATAACCGTATATTAAAGCGAGACGCGACTTGAAATACATTTGCGCGATATAATAATGTTAGCGCGTTATATCGTGGTGATGGGGCTCTTTTTTTTTCTTTTTAAAAAATCGAAAGAAAAAATTGCATTTATTAAACATTATAAACAACGAGACCATTGTTGAAAAAAATCAAGTAGGTTACATTTTAAATTAAACTAAAAAAGCCGCACCATGAATAGACTTGCATGGTTTTAGATGGAAAGTTTAGAAGGTATCTAGGTATGCATTTTATAGTTTATACACAATAAAATAAACAACGATAAATTAATGCAATGAAAACGATTCTGTGCGGAACTTGATATATTATGGTAATATGGTTGCAAATAATTATATGTTAATAGGGTACTATAATTATGCATACAGTATGTACAGTAAAGTTAGCTTTATTGTCGAATTTTCCTCGAAAGTAGAAACTATTGCTCCTTCGGGACCGAATGAGCTCAAAACTCAGAAATTTAAGTTGTTTTATAAGCGGATTGAAATGTTAAAATTTAGGTTGAATTTTATTACGAACGCCACCATGTTGTTGCGGGAGGACGGTGGTTTTTTTTTAGATATGTAATAAACTTCTAAAATCGAGACTCTAAAATCGAAGCCAGGCGGATGGCATTTTAAATATTTATGCAATTTGTACACCTATAGTTTATTTTATTTATTTTTCATTTAAGTATTATGTTGTCAATCGTATTATAATACTTGACGCAATTTTACGTCGCTAAATTTTTTTTCGTGTATAATCAAAAAAATTCCCAGTCATTTATATTCTTCGATTTAGTCGTTTGAGACTAATTTAGAGATTCCAGCACCTAGAATCAAACCTATAAATATAATAATATAATTCTACGTGTAATCCATATTTGTTTAGCTTTTCATTGGGAGCCGAATTAAATATTTAAATAAAATGTTACTAAAAATACGATTTTAACAAAAAAAAAAAAAAAATAGAATATATTAAAATAGAATACATTTATTGACAAAAAAAAATCATATTGTGAGTGTCATTACCTTGGTGGCCCTTATAAACTAATTTTGAATAAAATATGTTCGAAGAGAAAAATTTTAAATGCACGTTATTGAATGTCACTGAATTTATAATTCGGTATACGCAAACGATGGAATTTTGGGTGACCATAATAACATAAAAGTTATTATAAAATAATTGTAATCAGCTTATAATGCACGGTTTTCTTTAATTTGTTCGTATTTTATAATTGAAAACCACGTAGAAACTGCACGATCGAGACAGCATAAAATTGATTTCGTTATTTAATTTTTTTCAATCTTATAATCTTGGACTTCGAAAACTTTTAAATTTTAAATCGTGGATCGTTTGTTAGGGTATACCTATAGTGACAAAGTTTATATTCAATATTAAATAAAACAATTTTAAAAGTTAAAATTAATTTTTTTTTTATTTTTATCAGTCGACCACCCTCCCGCACAGAAAGTTATTTTACCGAAAATATAACTAAACAACAACAAAAAAAAAAAAAAAAATCCACACGTATATAAAGTAAAAGAAACCTGGGTTACTTAATATATATATATATATAAAAATATAATAATATTTTTGAAAAGTTTTTAGTGGACAAACAAAAACTGCGCGTGATTACAATAAAAAATATAGAACAAAAATCAGACATAAAGAAAAAAATAGAGCCGATACTGTAGACGGGTGTGCTACTGTTGTAGGTAAGAAGTTGGGAAGGTACAATAGAAATAGTTATTCAATTTATATTTGTATACAACGATAAACAATGGCTAACGAGTAACGATTCTTAGCGAAATTCGGTTAAATATGTTTTGAAATACCGTGATTTTTACGATTATCGTCAAAATTTGAACTAAAAAAGCTTATAGAAAACAAATTAGTAAAGTCCGCTTTGCGAGCGTGCAAAGTTTCTGGTTTCTAAACATACTTTAAACAGTAAACTATAATCCCATACACAATTCTGACACTCTAGTAACCCAGTGGCTAGTATACAGGAATAGTATACTAAGGAATTTTAAATTTTGACAGAAAATTTATAATCGCCTTTTCTAGACATGGTAAAATATTTTAGCCATTTTTCAGTTATTCATAGACATTTTATTTTTGCAATTTTTTACGTAATTCTTACTCGATAGGTACTCTGTGGATATAACTAAACAGGAATGCTTAAAAATTTGACAGGAAGTTCATTATAATTCGTACTCAGTGGTAAAAAGACAAAAAAAATTGAGTGCAATGTAGTATTTTTTATTTATATGAGTTTGAATAACAAATTTTGATGAAACTCGTAAATATTACGGCCTTTCAAAACATGCAATTCGTTCTAAATTGCTTTTCTTTAACAATCGTTTATCGCTGCTTATACAGATATAAATTAAATAACCGTATGCATCCTACCATCTCAACTTTCCACCTACAACAGTGGTACACCCGTCCCCAGTATCAGCTCATTTGTAATATTGGATAGTATACAATTTACTTATATTTAAATTAATAATGATACTAATTTATGATAGTATAACATATTTCCTTGTCTATCAAATAAACAACCGTAAATATGTATTAGTTACTGCTCGGATGGAGAGACGGATACAGCGGGGATGTAAGGTGTTCTAAACTAATATTTCTAAGCCAAAAACTGTAAGAACGATTTAGTTAAATCATATGTTCATATATTTATATTAACTATACAAGGTGTAATACGAAGATCTGATACCTGAAGTAACTTTTGTTCTGTACAATAGTATTAAGTTATAGGTTTCTCGACATAAGTTTATAGCACTTTATATCCCCCTTTTGTCTGTCTAACCATTTGTATAGTTATATCGTAATATATTACATAGTTACAATATTGTTATGGTTGTTGATTTGGCTGACAAGGAGATATATTATATTACTCAAAGTCACATTATTATTATCATTACTATCAGTTTAAATATAAGTATAAAAATAAATTCATAATAGCCAATATTAAAAACAAATATTTACCAAAATAAAATCACCTTTAAAATTATAAAAATGTCCTGTCAGCTTATCACACATGAAGATATTTATATAACTTAGTTTTATAGACATAAAGATACTATATTAAGTTTTTAAATTTGTTTTAAATAAACAAAAATACAAAATTATTTTTCATGGAAAAAATTGGTGAATTGATATTATATTTTAGTAACGACAATGAAAAAAATTTAAGTTATCGACAAATTATACAAATTTTAGAAAATTAACGATCCATCATTTGTTAACATATTTTATAACACCAAAATTTTATTTAAACATTTTTAATACTAAATCACCTAATTTGATTTCTTCTTCCATTTAAATTTACATTTTTAGTTTATACAAAATATAAAATAGGGGAATTTAAGCGTAGGGATTTATCATAAGTTTTAAACTTTTAAATATTGAGTATAACAAAAGTTATTTCAGGTTTTAGATTTTCGTGTTATAACCTGCATGATATTGTCATTTATATACGATTTATTATACTTTCAATTTAAACAACTAAAAATAAAATTTTAGGTTTCAATGTGTGAACTACAAATTAGTTTGTTATTATAGTATAATTATAATTTTTTTTTAAATTAAACATTTAATACATTTTCCCGGTGTTTCTATGGGGTTAATTCGGGGTTATTTTTTCAACTATTGAGAAATTTTTTTAAAGAAAGACTTACATACTTTGCATGATGGATACAGCTACTATTGTTGGTGAGAAGTTGAGAATATAGAATATAGAGGGGAAGTTAATTTGTATCTGTAAGCAACGATAAACCATTGCTTACTAAAAACGATTTTGAGAGGAATTCATTTGATAGTTATGCTTTGTTAATAATATATATGTCATATTACGGTAAATAATTAAATAATCATTATATATTTTTTTTTTAATATTATTTGTGTAATATTATAATGATTTTCCTGTTTTTTTCCGTTTCTTCCGGTTTTCCCGTTTTTTTCCCCCGATTTTTCACATTTGTTGGGAAAAATCTAGGCGAAATTCGAAAAATGACCATTTTAAAGTACCTTCCCACTCAGATTTACTTTCAGAAAATGTACTATCATTGTAAAATGGAATAAAATTGATGGTAAGAAAGTTGTTCACAGGAAAAAAAAAGGCCGTAATATTTCTTTACTAATACCTACATTCCCGTTTCATCCTATTTGTTGAAAAAACTCCTGATTTTTTTTATTCAATGTTTTCCAACAATTTCTGGTATATTTTATAGCGATTAGTTTACCACGTTGGTTACTTATATAGTATGATGAAACTATTAAATGGCATTATAGAAATATTACTCGAGCGTAGAAAGCGAAGAAATTCGAGTGGGATGTTTTGCTGTGATGTTGTGGTCACTACCGTTCACGCAGACTATAATATTATGTTATATAGGTTGCATTATGCGTTTTATTATACTCTTGTGAAACGTTAGACTTATAACATCGCATAGCTATTTAAACTCAGAATACAGTATGTAATTTGATATTTTTAAACGTTTAACAACAACTTCCGTGGATGGTATTGATTTATCATAAAATATAATGGTAATATCATTATATTTTAAATGCAGGTTATTTTTTCAATTTCAATACTTGCCTAACAATATTCAAAGACATTTTCCGTTTAAAATTTTATAAATTCCAATATTTTTAATTTATTTTAAATTATATAAACATATAACGGGAGAGGGTATATAATTCTACGGGTGTTTGACAATCCCTGGGCCTCGTCATCCTACTGGAGATACGCCCCAGGTGGCATATGGTATTGTTGCTTTACGGCAGAAGAATTCATCTTACGGTGAACAATACCATTGACATGCTGTCTAGTATACTGAGGAGGCAGAAGGCATTTCTAAATTCAAAATCCACAACATCAGGAAGCCAACGGGAAACCACCTGATTATATTAACCACAGGCAATCGTAATGGACAATGAAAAATGTTTTTATCTAATTTCCAACAATTCAAAAACGGATAGTTATTTATACATTATTATACACGGATATGATTACTATCCATAGACACTCAAATAGGATATTCACATATTAGAAATATAGATTCAATATATTGTCTCATTCGCCTTCGTCCCAACTATTTGGGGTCGGCCACCCTCGTTCTAAATTTTTACTGCTTTAGATTCCATAACTATCCATTGTTATCGCATACCTAAATAATTTCGGTCTATTTTCCCTCGTCTTTTCTATTTCGAAACCACGCCTAAGCTACCTCATAAGTCGTTATCTTATCCTTTCTCATTACTCCATTTACGCACCTAACTATTTTCATCTCTGATACACCCATTCTCTGCTCTATTTTTCTCTCTACCGGCCACCACTCTGAACCATTATTAATTAATTTGCAAAAATCGGATTAATAATTCGGTGCATATCCATAAAAATGCATTGTTAAATAAAAAAATTGTTTTGCTATATCTGTAAGTACTCGCGGTGTGAAAGTGGAAAATTTAACGCGTACGGTCGACGGATTTATTATATTTATTTTAGATTTGGATGAACGCATAGCGAGGAATGTATTTTTTTTTTCAAAATTATTATAAAGTAACTGAATCGGCGTATCGCGGAGTATCGATGAAATCCATATTAAAGTAGAAGTCGTGAACCGCGCTGTACATTATGGGCATTTTTTTTTGAAATGTCCTATAATGTACAACACCGACGGCTAGTGGCAGTGCGGCATTATAGTGGTATACGGGACAGTTCATTAAAACAAAAGCCCTTTGTTTTGTTATATACGTATATCACATCACAAAATAAGCCTTTTGTGTATAAATCAATCGTATAAACACGGGGCAAAAAATCCATCATAATAATACGAAATTTATATAAAATTATGAATATTATTATATTTAAAATATTCATCATCGTTGCGCTATAAAATAAATTGCTCAACGACGTGCCCTTATTCAAACGCGCATAATGTATAGAACAGATGCAATTTACTGCCATTACGTTATGCGACATTTACATCGCGTTTAGTACATTAAATCGTACAGAGTACTGCGTATATACGGTGATTCGAATGTTTATCCCGTTTCGGTGAATTGCCAAAATTATCGCTATGTGTATAATATGAACACGGCTGGAAACACCGTATAAAGTCTAGTGACACCGTCATAATAATGAAAATATAGTGTATTATACCAGGACGTATAATACACAATGTCGGACGACTTAGTGCGCATCGCGGTAATTATTTAAATTCCGAAATATCGCGGATTTGAATAAACAAAATTGCGTGACTATGTATTATTTATAGCACAGCGGATATTTTTAAAACACCCAGAGGAATTACAGGCGGCGAACTTTGAACGGCCGCAGTTGACGGTTTTTTTTTAAAAACAAAACAAAAAAAAAAAAACCTACGAGTGGGCGAAGAGATAACTTTGTTTTAAACAAAACATTTGACGTAGAGACTCCGTCGGGTGCCTCGCAATGCTCAATTACAATAATCCGTCGTTAAAAAATGCGACAGGTAAAAATTTAGTTGAAAACTTATTTTTTGATATTCCGTGTAGTATTGAAAACTGAGCATTTTTTATTGTATAGTTTTTTTTTTTTTGTAATTCAATTAGAAGTATTCGTATACACTTGAAATGATGATTTATATTTGCTTTTTCTATAAAATTTGAGCTATTTGTGTGATATTTATAGATATTTTAGTTTTGGGAGATTTAACGTAATTTGTATTTGGTAAGTACTCTACTACAAATTTTGACGAAAATCGTAAATATTATGGTCTTCTAAAACACGTGTAACCTATTTTCGCTCCGAATTATATTTTCGTTATCAATAGTTGATCGTTGCTTACCGATATAAATTAAATAACTTCACATATATCCTATAGTTTCCTAACTTTCCACCTACAACGGTGGCACATCCATCCCCAGTAACAGATCTTCTTCAATTTTGTAAACGGCATATTATTTTATGAGACGCATGCAGGTATCACCGCCGAATTTTATAGAATATTCACGTTATAATTTATAAGACATAGGTTAGGTATCATAGATTTAATATAATATAAACTTTTTTCTATAGTTTTCGTTTTTTGGCCACTTTTCAAAAAATTCATAAGACTTACGACTTTACATATATGTATTAATAAATATTATTAAAATTCCCTTTACACAGCCATGTCGGATGCATCACGAACATTCCTCTCTGATCATATCTAAACATATCATATTACCATTTATTCGAAACTATTAAACTCGTTGAAATTCATAGAACTTTTAATTTAAATTTTTTTTGTTTACCATCATGGGCGCAAACAATTTAAATTCACATTTATAATATATTAAATATTATACGAAACAAAGACATAATATATGCTAAACGCGATATAGACATTTTCGTTTTACCAATATTCCGCTTTATAATATTTGCCAATTTTTTATATTATTATATATAGTTCGCAACATCACTTTAGTTACAGTTTTTTTTTCTGTCACTGCCATTTTGTTATTAACCAAAGAATATTTATTTTTATTACCAAGGGGCATGCGCGTGACCTGCTTTTTACTCAAAAATACACTTATAGAAAAAAACACTCATGCCCCGTAAAGTGAAACGATTTCGATAGTCTTTTTTTCTTTTTTTTATTTCAAAAAGTACGAATTTTTATAGATCGAACTGGACTTGGATTTTGAAAAATTATACTTCTAATAATTATATTTTATAAGTTAATGTTTAATATGACCGATTTCAACCTTTTTATTTTATGGGACTTGGTTATACTCGTATAATCAAAAATCAAAGTCCTATGTCCCCTGTTAGATGTTTTTCTCTATTCAACAAATAATTATCTATACCAGATCACTGTTCATGACATGATTGTATTTTTTGTAAAGCGCGGGGTTGAGCGTAAGCCCATTAACGTAAAAATTAAAACTGATTGAATTATATTTGTTAAGAATTGCACATGTTACAAATTCGTTATTAACAACTGTTGACAATTTATATATAAAAAAAAACTACGAGCAGAATTCTTAATATCTTTAGATACACATGTTTAGAACATATTATTATTATATTAAATTACCTATTTGTAACGATATTTCGCATAAATCATTTGAAACTTTTGACTTTTATGTATATTTATCTTTATTATTTTATTATGTAAAATATTACAATGAAATATTGTGCTTGTATCATGAATATATGGCTAAAAAAAAAATAATAAAAAAATTGATCTATACAAATTATCATGTATCATATACAAGTATTTTTCAACACCTACTTATAAAACAATTTTTCAAAAGTAAATTTAATATATTTCCAGTGTACAGCAAAATAATATAAGAAAAGTAATTCGTCATAATCCTGTTTCGGTTGTCTATCTATAAAGCTCGGAAGAATATTTTTATTTAGATGCTTAATGATTCAGTTAACGCTTTAATATTAATGTTGAATCTGTATTCGGTATTATCAAAAAAACAAACTAAATTAGATTAAAACGGCGAGAGTTTTAAAATTGTATTATTATCGTCGTATTCGAGTTACCCGATAACCCCTGTGCTTTACTGTATAAATTATAGAGAAACGTGTGTTTTGAATACTATATAATATATTAAAGTAGTTGTATTTTTTTTTTTTTTTTTAGTATAAAACATTGGTTTTGAAGAAAACAAGAAAAAACACTATACCGGGACGTTCGTTCAGAATGTAAATGTACCCATATATACACACGCCACCATAAAGTCGAGTGCTCCGGGGGACTCGGTGATCAAAAGACATTTTCATTTCGTGAATGATTATACTATTATTTCAAAACGTACAGAGCTATCTATATAGATATGTATAAGATGTATGAAAATGTATGTTGATATTTTGATATAATATATAAGGTATATTATTATATCGCCGATGTCTTTTTTATTTTTTACAGCACTTTTTTTTGAGAAATTTCACACAATAAAAACTGTTGGACACCCAGTAGAGTACCTACGATTGTGCTTATCGTGTGTTCACTATAGAAATTATATACTATAAGATGAAATTACTATAATAGTATTTAGTAAAAACATGTTATATTTTATATAGTAAATACTCTCACTGAAAGGGTGCAGAAAAAGTCCAATAGTTAAGAAAGATATTTTCTCTATATATGTTCGAGGACACACAGTGGCGTCCATGAAATTGGCCACACACATTGTCCTACAGACGAAAAACAGATATGTATGTATGTTTGAGCCACCGAGTCACTTTGTTAATTTTTAAATTTTGAACGTTATAATACAATAGGTAAAATTAAAAATTAAATAGAACAATAATTAACAATAAAATATCTAAATCATTCAAAAATTTAAAACAATTAAATCAATGTGACCTTAGTAAAGCGTATAAGCTTATAAGATTAAATTGTTAAATTTTATATTGCACATGTAACTCACTTTAAAATTTAAATTGCATAAAACAACATACAAATTAATTATTTGTTCAAAGAACTGTAACGTAAGGGTTACAAATTATTTCTTAAGAAATGTAATTATTTCCTTAAACACTGCACAATTTTGATACTGGTTTGAAGTCCATGGAATAATATGAGGGAGGGGGCAATTTCAAACGTTTAAACGTCAGGTGCCGCATCGCCACCACATATATATATTGTTTTTAAACATTTAAAAATAAAAAACCAATTCCGAGACAATGGGTGTCTTACATTATATTTATCACATGTATGTGTATTAAGGGATATTCCGAGTGTGTCCTATTTTCAATTTTATATTTTTCATAGCCCGAGTTTGTCTGCGGTCTTATCGAGTATTTTTATTTTGAACTGTTTGAGTGTCTTTTAGGTCTCTAGGCCTTTTTTTTATGGGGAGGGGGAGGATGAAATATATTTTCACCCCCTCTTTAAAATGGAAAATTTCTCAAAAAAGTAACCTCACAGCTACAATTTTCTTCCAATTACACAACACAGGAATATGACTGTTTTATATTTATAAAATATAGCATTTTAATACATAAAAAAAGAAATTTGTATTTAATTAATTATAATATTACAACGCGTGTTATAAATTTATAATACAAACCTTCGGTTTTTCATAAAAGAGAATTTTCAATGATATCATCCATCGGTATACTTATTGGCTGCTACTATAAATATGCAACAGTCTTATGCCCGCATAAGCGATCCTGGTACATTTATTTTGTAATTAGAAATCAATGATAAAAGACAACGGTTGAACCGTCAAAACGAAATTACAGCTCCAGAAATATTGACTAGGTTCGACCAAAGATAACAAACATATTTTAATATCTATAGATTTGACCATGTCGTTATATTATTAACTACTTAATGAAAAATACATTTTCAAAAATGATTGTAAAAACACTAAAAACAAATAATAATGAATGTATATAATATTATGCAGCCCATCAGGCGAATGTCTCTCTTTTCCCCTCACCTATAGGTACGCCACTAGACTTGACAAAGGGCAATTTCGGGACGCCCTCGGGTAACCCCGACATCAACGCTTCGCGACTAAATAAATATACCTAAATTAAAATAACTTATACCGCCCAATATTTTCTCTATTCCGTTTAACAGATTATGATTTAATAGAATAAATTTCAAAATGCAGCCCGCAGAGGAGGGAAGTCGTCTACTTTGTCCAACCAAAGTTACGCCCAGCGATATAGTTACATCAACGTGTACATGTGTGCAATGACCTCGTACACGAGAGTGCACCGAGCGGTCATCAAACTCTTGGTAATCTCGTACAGAATCGAATACGTGAACTTTTATCGAAAAAAGTAGATAGATACAATAATAATAATAACTATTATTATATTTATGTTTATATATAAAAAAAAAAAAAAAAAAATAAAAAAAAAAATGTTAAGTGGTATTACAATAAAATACAAACGAATATTATTATTAATAAAATATTTAATATGACGGCGATCTTTGACCAGCTCCGCTCCTATCCGAGTTGACGCGTTATCGGGTTTCGTTTCTCAGTTCCCGATGATTTTTTAACAGTTATCGGACGTTATCGGTTAGCCGTATTTTATCCACATATGCACATTCGTGTACACTTTTCGATACTGCGACGGCAGTTCTCGTAACACCGTACACTGTGCACAGTCTGCGGGCCGCGTTTAGTTTCTTCCGAACTACCGGCCACCATCCCGCGACACGCCGCCATGGATATCGTTCCAGTCGAACCGTACCAGTTCACCGTGTCGGCGACCAATTTCTCATTCTCGTTTTTCAGGGTGAATACAAATTGTTTTTTCGCCGTCTTGAGAGTCGCCATTCTCAATATTATTATCATGCGTAACGTTTTTGTTTTTGGTCTCTTTCCGCGTGCAGGAATTGTCCACAAACGTCGAAGGCAACGTGTTCGCGTCCACGTACAGCGTCAATTTGCTACTGTTGCTCCTGACCATCGGGGCCCAGCACAAGACCGCTGATCAGCTCAAGTCGTTGTTGCGGTTGCCCGAAGAGCAGACGCAGCGGTACGAGGAAATCAGCACATTTATCGAAAACACTCAAGTAAGACGACGTACTGTACATGGTAGTATCGTTAAAAAATGACGGTTACCGGTTAAACAAATATTATATTGCTAGCATCATAGACGTGCAAAAATTGATTTTGGATTCATTATATATTGGTGAATTTTTTATTTGAAAGACTTACAAAAATGAACGCCGAATAAATAAAAAAAATGATTACTTACGTTATTTATCACTGCGATAATTCTCCTACTTCAAGGTGCTTATCTATCTATCTGTCTAGTATTTTGATATTTAGCTATTACTCGGTAAACTGAATTCGTATACTATACCTACTATTGCCTATATTAAATACTTAATAATGTAGATGTAACCTATATTATCTACCAATAGATTTTAATTCTTACATCAATGATCCAATGAAAGAGGACATATTCAAAAATAATTCAAGGGATGTGTTGGGGTAATTAAAATCTATCCAATACCAATATAGTTTTATTTCAGAGAGTAGTGTTGAATTATATTTTTTGTAATCATTGGCAGAAGTACTATCATTGATCATGTAATTAATGGTATTATCCCTTTAGTGACTAAGGTTGTCGCTTGGTTCATTAGTATTATTTCTCGTAATAATTATTATTTTTTTATATTATCAACTTATATCTCCATTGGAGACGCTCCGGTAATGAAGGAGTTAAGTGGTCCTTTATTGTTTTGGTGGGCTGGTTAAACAAATGAGTCAGTTCTGAAATTAACATTTTATAGATGAACTGATTACTGATTAGTATAACTAATTAAATATTATTTCATTAATAGGCTAATTCTTATCTTCGGTTAAATATAAAAACTAAATACAACGTTCATAATATATTATGTGGCCATAAAAATCAACAATTTAAGATTTGGATTACAAATTTAAAATTATTAGTAGTTTTATTAGTAAAGTATATATATATTTTTTTTTTATTGAATAAAAAATACAAAAGAAAATATTCAGAATACGTATTCAAATATTTTTTTGAAAAGTATTCAAAATAGTATTTTTGAATAAGAATAAAGTATTACAAACATATTTTTATTTGAATACATTTATTCGAATACTTTACAAGAATGTCGGTCTTTTACCGATTGGGTTCTTCTTTTAATAATCGTTTTAATAAGTAAGTTTTCTTTTCTCTCAGCTAATCGATATTACTTACAATTATTTTAATTTTATTATCCGGATGTATTTTTGTGTAGCTCGAGTGGTTGACATAAGCAGACGTTTTGAATCCATTACGGTATCCTTAATCTCCTTAAAGATCCGGAATTACTACAAATACCTTAGCCATTGTAACTGATAACCACGGCTCCGATTGCATTTTACATGAAGCAATAATTTCTTCTATAATACAAACAATTTCATTTGTTGAAAATATTACTTATTCAATAAAATAGAGCAGTTCAATGAAGGTTTTTTAAGTCTTTTTACCATTTTTGATTTTTTAAATATTTTTTTCGGGGTTTTGTAAAATTACGTTTTAAGCGCATTTTTGTGGATTTTATGTGCAATAAATGCCGAGTCCTACTGATACCCAATAATGCTTGGTCGTATGTTTTCGACCAAATCTCAAACCGTTTATCGAGTTAAAATATTGCATATTTATGAAAAAAAAAGATAATGGACATTAAACGACGTTTTAACGAAGTCGAATTGCCAATTTTTTTCGCATAATAAAAGTTGAAATCTACTTTTTAACAATAAAAAAAAAAATAGTTCAACTTATAAAATAATAAACAGGCAAACGTAGGTATATATATATGTATATATTTTTTTTGTTTTTATAAAAGATTTTAGTTTTTTGCTGCATTTTTTTTTTGATATTTCAGTTGGCCAAACTATACTAAAGGTTCTCTATATAATATGTGCAGTATATACGTATATACTATCATTGTAATTATTATAAAATTTTTATTTTTTAAACTAATAATATTTTAAACGCAAACTTTGATTTATTATACCTATTCTGTTATACCGGTAATGGACTCGATTCAAAGTTTTTTTTTTTTGTTTTTTACTTTTAGTTGTTCGGTTCATTATCGTTTTCGAAATTAAAAAAAAAAAAAAAAAACTATAACATATCATATATATAATCTGTACCCTTTATATATATTTATACACGTCCCCCAAGACCTCAAAATTGACCCCGTGACTCAAACAGAGCGGTCATCCACACACTTCTCGCACAAAAATTATACAACTTTTTGTTTTTGTTTAATTAAAAATCGCGAATATACAAGCACGCGCTGTAAACATAACCATTGAATTCGAATACGTTAAGCGAAAAACACTAGACTAATAATTAAATATCGAATCATTAATAATAACGAGTGAATTGTAACAATTAGTTGTTCGGTTCATTATCGTTTTCGAAATTAAAAAAAAAAAAAAAAAAAACAAAGAAAAACATTCTCAGAATATTATTATTTTATCATTTCCATAAAATACCTAGTAATTAAAAACGATAATTATTATAGCTTGTTTTCCGAGAAACGCTTTAAAATAGTAATAAAGATACACTTTGCGCGTAAATAAATAACCGTATTATAATATTATAATAATAATCGTTTTAATGATCGCATATATTTATAACTATTTTTAATTACGATGAGTTCACAACATAAGTATGATAACAAAAAAAAAAATAATACTATACCCACTAGCTCTCCCACCCGGCGTTGACAGTGCCTAAAGAAATGCACTCTAACAACGAACTAAGTAACCATTTTCTATCAGTAACTACAGTTCCTCGTGACAAATATTACATAGCTTACCCTTATTTATTTTAGATTTCGAGCGAAGTAAAGAATGTATTGGTTTTACTATGGTGTGTATTTTTTTTATTTTTTTTCCTATCTGTAATTAAATTTTTTCTGAGAAATTTTACTCCAAACAAATCACGACAAGAGATATTTTTCTTGAATTTTGGCTCTAGTTGGTGGTGATATACAATTTCGTACATTTGGGAAAATCTAAGAATTGCAAATATTAGCTAAAAATTGTATGGCCTTTTTTTTTGTGAACAACTTTTCCACCAGCAATTTTGCTCCAACTTTTAATGATAGTAATTTTTTTAAAAGGAAATTTTACTGGGGAGGTACTTTACTGAGGTCATTTTTTTGATTTTATCCGGAATATTTTCAGCATATGTGAAAAACTGGAAAAACAGGAAAACAAGGAAACATATAGAAAAGCCGAGGAAATCGGTACAACGGTATCAAATATTATTATAGAAAATATAAAGCGCCCATTTAATTATTTTACTATAATATGGCATATTTATTGTTGATAAAGCATCATTATTAACTGAACTCCGCTCAGAATCGGGTTTTCTTAAGCAATGGTTGCTTACAAGTATACATTAAATTACCTATAATAGTCGCTGTTCCCATCCCCATTATCCTAGGACATTTTTTTTTGGAATTTGTATACATAATATTATGTTATAAAAATTAAAAAAAGTTATTACGATAATAACTTAATTTTGAATTAAAACAATTGACACAAAACCGATAGTATAGTCAATTAAAAACTATTATAAATTAATAAAAGAATTAATTATAATCTAAAACCTTGGTGTCGATAACCAGTCCCTGCAGATAAAAAATTTAATACATTACTATCTATTTTAAATTGATTATATGGCAATATTATATGCGGTTATCTTTTTAGATAACTTCAGTGTTAGAATAGTTGTTAAAATAATAGTCACAATTACGTTTATCAAACTAGGTACCTTAAAGATAAGTTAATCAGAGGTTTTTCCTAAAATAACTTGTTTTACAAATTGTTCCTAAATTTCACGTTTTTGAACATGCAACGGTAACGGTGCACTAAATTTGGGTAGGTAGAACGTACGCAATCGTAATAGTGAAAAACGTACATAGTAGACAGGTACAATAACGTAAACAATCGTGTATCATATACAATCTTAACGCATCCCTATTTGATATCTATTTTAAAAAGGTAATTTTTTTGAAATTCTCTTGATATCCGAGATAATGAAGAAAAACTGGTTCTTTAGATTAAAAAATAATAAAATACTGAAAATAAGGTTATTATTGGCAACCGTTTTTATTTATTTTTTATTATCATTAAGTTTTTATTATTTAAATAATTTAATCTTTTTAAACAATCGTAAACAATTGAAAACGCACATTGTTGGAGAAGCAATACTATTGAACGAGTTCCATTCAGAGTCATTTTTCATTAGCAATGATTAATTGTTACGAACAGATATAAATTAAATTTCCCCCTGTAGCCGAACTTTATCAACTAAAAAAGTGGCCCACCCGTGGTACGAAGTATGTTTGTCTGGTTTTTTATCTTGTTTGTTATTATTTTATTCGCATTGCCAAGGTAATCTGTAAATCAACAAAAATAATTAGTTTTTCGTATCAAATGTATCGATAACTTTGTGTGAAACTCCTTTTAGGAGGAATTTTGGGGAAAATACTTAGTCTACATCTTTTCAAAGTTTCAGCACAATCCGTTTCGTAGTTTTGGCGTTAGGGGGTAACAAACAAATTTTCTCATTTATGATTATTGTGGGTTATCCTGATGATATGAACCATTAGCAGTTCTGGCATTCTTGAAGAGATAACAATTAGACAATACGATATCCTTCTAGATATATTGGCACGCATCCCCCATTGTCCAATACGTCCAATATGTTTTATTTAAAAATCTATAGGACGACCGCATTACTCTTTCAACTTTTCTCGTAATCAACTAGTAAGTTACGATTTTGCATTACTATTTAACGGTATATTGGCTTATATTAATGTGGTGATGATAGTGCGATTGTTGTAATTAACGTTAAAAGTTAACCGGCCGATTATGGTAGTATAGGGTTTTAAAATATAAATATTTTGTAAAAAACTATTATTTTTTATATTGATTGTGCCGCGGGATTATTTTGTCTATTTACATCTAGTCGGATATGTATATTATTATTAAATATTGATGTATACGAATAGGGTTAAGTTTTAAGTAAAATTAATTATATATATATTCTTCCAGGACCTGGAGAGCTTAACCGTCGCCAATGGAATATTCTCCGACAAAGCGTTCGAATTAAGTGCAGATTACGAGAGTCAGGTTCGTAACTATTTGAAATCAGAAGTGAAGAGGTTTGATTTCGCCGGTAATTCGTCGGCCGGGGAATCGGAAATTAACGAATGGACGAGTAAAAAAACCAACGGGAAAATCACTAAACTCTTCGAGCGTGGTAATTATTGTTGAACGAAAAGCATTTCAGTGAATATAATCATTGTTTAAAAACCTGACCTTGTCTACGCAAAAATGTATCAAAATCCTATTTATCGAGTTTGTGCAGTTTCTAAATGGACAGTTTTTAATATTTCCACGTAGAAAAACCGAAAAAATCAGAAATGTATTTTTAAACAATATTCTGCGGTTGTCTAGGACGGAAACAGTCACAAAATTGTCAGGATTTGGGAAATTCGACGTCAATACGAAACATGCATTTTTCTGGTGAAATTCGAAATAGTTTGATAATTTTGTCTCATTCTCTGTATAAAATGTAGATAGGTCGGTAATTGATTTTTAAATTTAGATATCATAGGTCCACCAATGTCAATTTTTAAAATTCTATACTATTGAAATATTCAGAACTATTATTTAAAATTCTGGACATGACTAGTCAGTTAAATTGCGCGAATTTAAACTAATAAAATAAAGACCTATACAGATATTTATGCTTTTAATAGATAGTTCTTTGTAATTTAGAAAAAAGAAAGAAGCAGATATAATTTGTTAATATAAATGCAACAACCACTATATTTTATATTTGTTAAATAATTAAATATTTTTGAAATTTCAGTTGTATTGAATATTTTAAAAAGTTTCGTAAAACGGTATCGGTCCGTAATCGGGGTTTAAAGTAACACAAAATGACAAAGGGTACTTTTATCCTTATTTTATTTTGAGCGTACCATATATTGTTGTTCCGAACAACAAAACGTTTTAAGGAATTGGTTATTCATTAATTTTTTGAGCCGAACAAATTTTTTCTCGCTTCGCTCAAAGGTAACATTAATTTCTTTAATTTCAATAAATGGAAAAATTAATTTTCTTTTCTTTAGGGTATACACGGTAAAATTAATTCATATAAAACACGACCCATAATATTCCCTAGCACCTAATCATAAACTAATATAATTCAACATAAAACCGGTAAAAAACCGAAAATAATCGATGCTGCAGGTGTTAATATTCGAAACAAAAACAAAAGAACGTAAACAAAATCAAAAACGGAAATGAAAATCGTTTTTTTTTTTTTTTGCCATTATACACTCTTGCACCGCCTCTTTCCACTCTGTCCCCTTGCCGTAACTTTCGTAATAAATGCTAAAATATTCAAGTATATTTATCACTCATCTAACATAGTAATTTATCCACATAACTCTAAGAGCCTGTTTATAGGAACCATTGATTCGAGTACGGTATTGGTGCTGGCGTCCGCAGTGTACTTCAAAAACAAATGGAAGAATCAATTCAAAGAGACCAAGAAAGGCATGTGGTGCCTGACCGCCAAAGATCATATCCAGACCCAAATGATGCACCAGACCGATTACTTCTACTATTATAAGGATGACCAGAACAATTTCTCCGCCGTCAAACTACCGTATGCAGTACGTATATAGCAGTGTAATATTATTTATTTATTTATTAACGGGCTTGGAGCCCAATAAAACAATACTATTACAGTAATTAATAAATTTAAACAATAAAGCATAAACATTAAAGTAAGCAAACAATAGAATCGATTTAAATTGCAAATGAAAATTATAAAAAAGAACAAAAAAAAAAAAAACAAATGAAAAATGATAAATGGTAACAACAAATTTCAGTCCTTAATACTAAACAAAACAATTTAAGAAAAGTTTAGTGCTCGTAACCCATGCGCATTAATTAGATTATTTCTACCGTAGTTGGTATTGTGGAATGAAACAACAAAGAAGAGATGGAGTATCCACACGTCCGTCAATAAGCTTATGTAAAAACACCAAATTAGCTTCAACTTTCCTATCTGATAGGGAGAAAAACCTCAGTTTATTCATCACTAGACTATAATCATGCAATAGATATGGTATTTGTAAAATAAATAACACCGAAGAACAAAAACGCCTCTGGACCAGCTCAATGTGAGAAGAGTCTATTGCCGTATTAAGATCTCAGAGAATAGAGGAATATTCCAAAATAAACCGTACGAGAGAACAACACAAAGCTTTGAGAGAACTAGAGAGCTTAAATTATAGTATAGTTTTTCTCTTGAGAGAGCTAACCAAGCTTAACTAAGAATTATGATCGACGGAAAATTTTTGACCTATCTATCAGAATAATTTTGTTTCTACAAACCTGGCATACGCAGATATAAATCGAATTATGGACTAAAATGAGGAGTGCACCCAGTTATCGGTAAATGATAAGGTATTTGTATCTATAGCAGCATGCAGGCTGCAGCAATTCGAACGAAAAGAAATAAATCCCCAACGTTTGTATCTCATTGCTAATTTCTCAAAGGACTTCAGTGTGTTATGTGAAAACTTAGAACCTACATCTGTAGATAAGTTGTTGAAAATAAGTGTTAGAAATAAAGGGTCGACGTCGGGTCAATCGTATTTTGAAGTAGAATAAAACATTTGGTTTGAAGATAATACATAAGAATTATAATACGAAATTATGGTATTTTATTATTTTGAGACGGAACATTTGATAATAGTGAAGTATTGTGCGTGATGCCTAATCAAATTTTTTATAACTTACAATATTCGGTCTAAAATATGATTTTCTTCTACGGTAAATTAAATTTGACTACTTGTTTTTTTTTTTTTTTTAAATTATATATATGTATTATATTTTTCAAATTACGATTTTATTTTCACCCTGTATGATGGAAGTTTGGAACCGTTTCAAAAGTTTAAACGTCTGAAAACGGACGTCCTGTACTTGAGGGATTACACCCATAAACTACTGTTTGGCCGATAGTGTACTGAAAATGTTTATATAGGGGATGTTAAAACTAGAAATTTGATCATTAAGAATACAAGTTTTTTAACCGAAATAAACACTAAAAATACACCAATCGCGTCATCGGAGTATTTTAATTATACTAACATAGAAATAATCAATTACATGTTTCTCCTACAGAAAGGCGATTACGATATGTTGGTTTTGTTGCCAGACAAAATGGACGGTGTCAAGGCGTTGGAAAAGTACATACTGAGTGATTCCTCGCGGTTCCCTATTTTGATCGCAAATCTCACCATTCACAAGGTCGTCTTGGCTCTTCCGAAGTTTAAATTCGAATCGAATATTAATCTCAATTCACACATGACTAACGTAAGTATAATATGTATAATGAAATTTTGACGTTGATCGAAACGCTAATGTAATGGCATATTAACGGGTGAACTCAGAAATGTTCGGACATGGGCGTTTTTACTGAAATACCTTTTTGGCTTTATTATTTGTTCTGTTACTCGCTATGAAAAGTTAAAACATACAAAATGCAAGTCTCCGTATGCAGTGATATTATGTAGAGCTACATCCGTCTTATTATAATTTTTCTGCAATTTATTTTACAGGTTTTTTTTAAAAATTATTTTGAATGCGTGGTTTGATTTAATATTCAGACTGATATGAAAAGGTACTTTGTTACTTATATTATTTCAACTCTTTAATTGTGTGTGTTCGTTCGTTAAGAACATAAACCTTATAATAACACGAACTTTGTCATTATTTATCGTATGATTAGATAACCAATTAATAATGAAAACATTATTTAATTTCGAAATTATTATTCACATTTAAATACATGACAAAACATGTTTTCTCAGTAAATCCAAGTGAACTTTGGATAGTATTTTGTATTATACATTTAAACCATATCATAATGCAAATATTTTGCACCAAATTACCAATTTACTCGTTAAATTGTCTAAACATAATAATATTATAATCATTACTACATAATTAAACGGTAAATATTTATCAATCGTGTAATTAAATGAAAATAATAACAATGTTATGAGTATGATAATGCAATTATAAAAACTGATAGTGATATCGGATTGATATAATGTAATACAATAAAACACAAATACGTGTTCGCGTGTGGTAAAAAATTATGATATTTTGTTATATCGTTTTGTTTATAATATACTTCATAACAGGCAATATTTTATTATGTTTACTTAAAACGATGAAGTGTGTAGGAAAAGGATTACAAAATGCTGTAAACGTGAACGTGAAGCGAGAGAGAATAGTTTCTTTTTTACAAAGAAATGTTTTAGACGATTTCGATAACGTATATATGCCTGACAGTAATATGTTGTGTAATACGTTTTTTTGTCGGTCAAAAAGAACATTTAAGCGGAGGACGTCACACTCGCGTCTACTGCGTTTTCAGTCCAACTTACCGGTGCCATAGTAAAATTGCTGTACGTAAATTATGAAATTTTGGTTAAAATTGGAGTCTAAACGCTATAGATGGTAACAATTTAAGGAGGAGAATATTTCCAAATAAAATGCGCGTTGTTGTTTTTCAAAAACAATCTTAAACAAAAAAAGATTCCGGCTTCTTTGAAAACATAAAAAGTGACAAAATTTGTTTGAAAATATTTTAGAAGAACACCGACGTATATCTACCCTGTATGCCGTCTGTCAGTTAGAAATGTACACGCGGGTGTGGTGTTCTCTCGAGGACATTTTTTTTTCTTTTCAGTGAATTGTGTATATTATTTTCTTTTAGAATTTCCCAACGGTCAGAAATGTCTAAAATTTAAATTTCGTACGTCTATACATGGAAACCCACTTTTAATGTAGTTTATGCACACATCATAATTTAATCGTGTACTATTATATAATATTAATTCCATATGGCATTACCTTTATTATATTTTGAACAGTTGGCTGCAGTATTTATTACCCTGGTACATAATATGTCACGATTCCGATTCACAATTATATTGAATTTTAAATAATCGGCTTAGTAACGTTAATGCTGTCGGGTATATTTCATTTTAGGCTTATAAATTACCGACATAATAATGTTCTATACAACTCGGCTGAATGTCCGTATAATAATATATTATAATTTTCCCTTACTGGACAAATCAATAAAACATTTTCGGGAGTATTGATTTCGATGTTTTCGATCCATATCGATCGCTATTTTTGTTGTTGATGTACTAAACGGTTTTGAATATTATTCATAATAATTATTGTCAATATTGCAGGTGGAATGTTGTACTATCGGTTATATTTTTCGATCGACCTGTAGACAAAACAAGGTACTTTTTTTTCGGAACTTTTTGACGTTTTGAGTAGCCTTTTTGTGAATATAAATCTGGTCTCTACTTATAAGACATGTGTTTTAAGGCGAATGTACAATTAACATTTGAGATTAGCTAATGTATACCGATGTGGTTTAAAACGATTATCTAGTGTATCGATTTTCAAATAAAATGTATACAAATATTACGTTTTTGAAGTTGTACATTGAGGGGATTTCAGACGATTCTGGGAGGACTAAGACCTCATAGCCTCCCTAATTGTACCATTGATTTGATCCACTATTTTACTTTGCCGAAGACAATCTTACTATATTATATGTGTCCAATTTTACACAATAGATTTAATATATTTAATTAGTTTGCAAACTTTATGTCGGAAGTACATTGTTGTATTATAATTATTTTTTTGTTATACCGTATAAACATTTGACATTATCGCTTGTTGATAAAATACCTACTATTATATTATTGTTTCCAACAGTTGGGCTGCGGCGAAATGTTCACGTCGACTGCCGATTTCTCCAAGATATCTTCGGGAGGAGCGGGCAAATTGATAGTCAGTAAAATCAAACACAAATCGTACATAGACGTGAATGAATACGGGACAGAAGCAGCGGCCGTTGCCGGTAAGAACGCGAGAATTTTTTGAATTTCGAAAAAAAAAAATTACTTAATTCTCTTTTCTTTTCTCTATTTGTGTTTCTATAGCTGTAACCATGTTAAAATCCAGCGCATTTTATCCACCAGACATCAAGACCGTTAACTTTCACGCTTGTCATCCGTTCTTGTTCGTTATTGTTCGAGGCAGTAATATAATTTTCATGGGCAGATTGGCCAATCCCAACGTGTAGATTTTATATAACTTATTATTATTATTATTTTAACATCAAATTTATATTCGTGTAAACATTATTATTTATTGTTCGATAACTCGAATAAATAAACCAGAAACATAGTTTGTGGCGTTTAAATAAAAATTATCTAAGACATTTTAAAATTTCATATTTTTTAGAAAAATGCGTACGTTTTGCCTGCGAAATTATTCTTCTCTTTAAATGTTGTTGTTATTTTTGTTTAAAATGTACGTTATAAGTAAATAAAGTATACGGAGACGAAAGAAGTCATTAAAGTTCGGGAGTAGGTGTAATTTAATTTCTATAACTGAGGTATTTTAAAATGGAACGATGAAATTTCGAATCAAATTAATTCAAAATAATTTCTTTAATACCTATATGATTATACGTCTAATCAGACTGTGTTTTACTTTGTTTTTACTGAGCAAAGTTGAATACGTAGAATAATAGTTTGAAGAATGGTGGGTGAGGGAGAAGGTGAAATTTATTTTTAAATGCTATTAATATTTTTGTGAACAAAATATGTTAGGACCTATTGATTGTCTTGTCTCCATATTGAACTTGCTGAAAATTTGATTGGGTTTAGTTAGTTTTTGAGAATTATCAACGTTTGTTAAAATATACACTTTCTAAGTTTTCCTAATTTAACCACTGTTTGAATAATGTAATTTATAAAGAGACTATAAAAATTTAGTCGTTTTAGAAATTATTAAGTGTCTCTCTGTTTTTCTTTCTCTTTGTTAAATGATATTGGGCAATTTGTGGATTGGCCAGTGTACATGGTCAAAATAAGTCTATGATCGTCCAAAATCGTCAAAAATTCAATAATAGATAGAAAATTTACTAAAAAAAAAAAAATAAACTATTGTATTAAAAAAAGACTAATTTAATTTTTAAATTATACAAGTAACGCAAACTGTTGAATTGTTATAAGGATGTTCGTTTCGCCGTGAAAATTAATATAAAGGGCGCTACTGGACAATTATGGACCTCAATATGAACGATTTTCCATACGATAAATCGAATTTACGAATTGACTACTATCGTACACTATGGTATATTCCCGAAATATCCCACGTTTATAATATCTATCGTTGTCAGAAATATCTCGGAATACAAAATATTATAAATTTACGTATATAGCTATATCTGTTTACATTATTTTTTTTTGGTAATTTTACTTTAAAAAATAATCTGACGTTTCACATAAAGCACCTGCATACAGAATTGTATTAGATTCGAGGGGAAAACGGCGGAGTTATAATAACTAAAAAATATCATACGGTCAGCCGGATATCGATTCGTTTTTGCCATTTTGGATATATGTAATCTTAAAAATACGATTATTTTTTAACACGTGATATTTCGAGGGAACACCAAATATAATATGCATCATTATACGTATACGTTTTATTGACGTAAAAACCGAAATTTCGAGAAATATAAAAACATTTACGGCCGGACAAAAATTTTAGCACGCAGAATAATATTATCATCTATTCGTGAGTTAATACGTGTTTCAGAGATATAGGTTTGATTAAAGTTCATTATAAATAAATGCGTATTAAACCGCGGATAGTAGATGATTATATTTCGGTGTGTCGTGGGGTTCCCGATTTATCAATGGCTCGGCCGCCAAATAAAAAATATGATAAATCGATGTAAGTTTTTCTTCGGCGATCCTTTAAGCGTATATGCGATTCGGTTTAATGTGCGTTGTGTAGTTGTGCAAAGACTGGCGTACCCGTCCAGGAGTACCCATCATTGTTTGTGGTTTTAACGAACTTTTGGCCCACGAGGGTGACAGCCACAAGATTACGTGAATTTGTATGCTAATAATAAAAGGCGACACACGTAAATATTATTATTGTGACACGAAAAGTGGTCGCTCCGAATGACGCAATGCGTACGATCTAACCGAATAACAAAAACAATAATATCTAGAAAACAGATTATATTTTATATAGTCCTAAAATAGTTAAAACATGTGTTTGAATTATCTCGAAGGCTTAATTTACTAAAAAACTCCACCCTCTCCCCACCAAAAAAAAAATTATGCAACAATAAAAAAAAAAAGTACTGAGATGTAGTTCAACTTAATATTTTGCAAATATAATAGTCTATCATATTTTGATTAATAGATAAATTATATTTTTATTTTTAATGTTTTTCATATTAATGTTTACGTAAAACATGAAAAAAACAAAAGTTGTTAAAAAAAAAAAAAAAAAAAAATAAAAAAAATAATATACCAAATAATACCTAAATAATAAAAACAAAGACGTAAAAGATGTAAAATGACCTAATACTCAAAATAAAAGTGTCAAAACTGACTTCGCTTTTACATTATTCAACATTTATATTTAGAAAACTATGATTTAAAATATGCTACAAAAAATATAGTTAAAAATGTTCCACATTCTCAAGAATTATTACCAATATAGTAATACACTTTAAATACTAAAATTCTTAATTTTTTTAAATTTTCATTTACGGACATATGTGTAACTAAGTATTCGTTTTAAAATATTGCAGAAAATATGAATTTAAATTGTAAATTTTAAATAGTGGGATTTTATTTACACCCAAAAGTCTTTAATTAATATTGTCATAATTTTTTAAGCTCAATTTTATACCTGAATTATTGTTCTATTTTTACGTTTCTACCAAACGCTAACACTTAACGCTTAACCTAACCATCGTTTAGTTCCAACGAAATGAGCAATGAACGTGAATTGGGTAACGCAAGCATGTAAATACGTCGACTGCCTAACGCTCCTTCATTTGGTGGTTTTTTGCACGGAATTCATTGGATTGGTAGTTTGGTAGTGAGATAACGAGTAAGCATAAACGTCCTTTATTCACGGGAGGTAAGTTTATCAGTGGCGTAGATCATACACTAGCCATCGTCAAAATAGCCATTTTAGATTCGAAACGTAACGAGGAATCTATTGGTTTTACTATGTTGTGTCAGTGAATCATTTTTCTAAAAGAAACCTTGCTCCGAAGTGTACACTACAGCGTCTTTTTTGAAAAGTAATTTTCTTTCGTTGGAGCACTGGAAAGATCATTTTATCAAGAGATTGTCGAAATAATTGGGAAAAACCGAAAAAAAATTATTGGTAATATGGGAAATATTTACGGTGCGTCGCGGCGTTACCGTTTTAATTGGTTTCATTGTGTTATACTTTCTACTAGAAATATAAGCTCCAATCTAAAAATGACAAGAGACTTCTAATAATATTTCGCTTCTAACAGACTAAGTTGTTTTTTCGAATAAAAAATTAAAATAAAAATAAAAGTAATATGAACTAAAAAAAATTAAAAATTGTATGCACATTTATGTTTGATTCTCAACTACTATAGCCCTGTTATTGAATTAATTTATCTAAAATAATTATGAACATATTTAAGTAGGTACTGTACAAATATTCATTTTATTAAATATATAAATTGTTTTTATAAATACTTTTTCTATATCTAGCTTCTGCATATCTTATTCAGTTTTTAAGACAAGTAATAATTTCAGAATCTTTGTAATCTTTGACAGTTTTAAAAACAGCTTCTGTCCAAAAATAATTGAATGATTATATTAAATTGTATTAATTGTAAAAAACAACTCAGTAACAATTAAACTGTCCTACCAATGGTTATCTTAGATATTAACGAACTTGACAATGGCTTTTTCCATTTTACTTCAGTCCAATTGTACGATGTAACAAATTTGTCGGAAAATAGTTTTCTTAAAAGTGATTTTGTAACATCCTCAGTTTTAATTCCGCTTATTCTACAATTGGAATTTAACTAGAATAAAATACTTTTAAAATCTATATTTTAATAAAGATACAAATACTTTATTCAAAAATATTTAATAAAAAATTAAAAAACTTGTACTTTAATACTTTGTTCATTTTACTTACAATCAGTCTTTTTAGTACATACCCACTCAAAAAAAAAAAAAAAAAAAATTGAGTTTTATGGATTACTAGATTACCCGTTGAATTTAGTACCCCCTAACAGTCAATAAATGTAGTGATACCTTTTAGCTAAACTTAATTTATGTAATAAAATCAATACAAAAAATATGTCCTAGGGTAATAGGGTCAGGTTCAGCTACTGTTTTAGGTAATTTAATGTATATCTGTAATCAATGATAGACCATTGCTTACAGAAAATTGCAGTAATTTGTAAAATTGTGGTGTGGGTGTAAAATCGATCCGACAACTTGGTGGGACAAACTTCTAGGTCGTCATGATACTGTATATATAATGAGTGCATTAAACCCTTCGTAATTTCGAATGTAGTTACACGCGTGCATTTTTATCGAGAGGAGTTGGCACAAATGGAATTTGTATGTTTGTGTGAATAAATAACGTGGAAATAATATTGTAAATTAAATTTATAATATGTATTTTATAAATTATAATTATCCCGGATCGCATAAATAATCTATTAAAACATTTCGATAACCTATGATATCGTATCGATAAACTATTGGATAAATTACTTTATTGTGCCCGTAAAGTCATGTACTGTTGCATGAATATTTCTATATAAATAAACCGTGATTGTGGACTTAGGGCCGGGTTTACATAGATGCAACAGGAACATTTGCTCCAAGTCGGCAAATTTTTAGGAGCGACAATGGTACATAGGTTTTAATGTTCAAATACTTATTTAGTACATTTTTTTCAAAATGTTTATTCGAGTTATTATAATCAGTAAATATAACTGTGAAACACTGAATAAAATGTATTATGAGTGCAATATGATATGACTATAGTATATTAACTCGCCGTAATTATAGCGGTATTAATCGCAATGCACGTAGAATTTTGTAAAATAGCGTTGCCTATAAATTAACGTGAATATAATATTATATTTATAAACTATTGTAATTGTGTCTAACCGATTGGCTGCGCCGCCGATGTCACTTGGTACCGTCTTATTATTGTTCAGTACTCATTCAATTATCAGTGATCAGTGTCAGCGTTCGCAGTTGACAATAATAAATTTATTATTTTCATTGAGTACTAAAATAATTAAATCAAGCGGTTATGAATAATACGGTAAATGGGCAACCGAATGTAAAAATGACAAGTGTACAAATCGGAGGTTTTTTTTAAAAGGTATAGGTAAGATATTTTTACTGTGCTGTTACTGTTAAATAAAAGCAGTTCATGCGATCCAGCATGATTATAATCTTTATCAATAACGATCTTTGACTCTGCGCGTTATCAGATTTCGATTTTAAACTTCCGATGAATTTTTAATAGATATTTGACGTCATGGGTTAAATAAACGTACGATTACATTCGTATAAATTGTTCAATACACCGTGCAGTACAGAACAGTTGGCCGACCGCTGTGTTCAGATCCTTCCGAATTAGCGACTATTATTTCGTGATTTACAGCCATGGGTGTCGTTCCGGCCGAACCGTTCCAATACACCAACGCGGCGAACAATTTCTCGTTCTCGTTGTTCAAGGTGAACAAACATTGTTTCGTTATTTTGAGAGTCATCATTCTCAATATCATTACCATGTAATGTATTTAATTTTCGTCTGTCTCCGTAAACAGGAATTGTCCGCAAACGCCGAAGGTAACGTATTCGCATCCACTTACAGCGTCAATTTGCTACTATTGCTCTTGACCATCGGGGCCCAGACCAAGACCGGTCAACAGCTCAAGTCATTGTTACGACTGCCCAAAGAATCAACGCAGTACGAGGAAATCAGCGCTTTTATCGAAAAAACTCAAGTAAGACGACGGTATTAAATCATTGCGATATTTTGGAAAGTAGGTATTAACTTCTTTTCAATTTCTTTTTCATAATCTATATTAAAAATCCATAAATTGATGGAATAAGTATTAGTTAAAATATGTGTTGATGTTGAAACTTTTGATTTCCGTTAACCTGTAGACGAGATATTCTACTTTTAAGTTTTAGTGGGGCAATTCATTCCATAACTTTAATGGAGTATCATTTGTGTGGTGGTACTTTAAATAATTAACCACTCTTCTCTCCATATTCATAAGTAAAATTGGAATATTTCGTTATCGAGTTGACGGATTTAAATAACTTCAATACCGAAATGTATTTAAACTAATATTCCGTCTATTTGTGGAATTTTTAATGTAGGTTGCTATATGAAAATTGAAACTATAGGTAGTTGGTTCACTCCCAATAATAAGGATAACAAACGTAACATTTCAGAGCTAATTTTTTCCTATAAAATAGAATATAGTTAAAAAAAAAAATGCAAAAAAAGTTAACACTTTCTAAAATCGTGCAATGGTAACATAATCGAGGGACATCATTAGATTGTTAACAGTTTATACTATTTAGCAGGAGAATCGTTAAAAAATCAACTTTATCACTTAACCCTCCAACGTGTGAATTTTGTATGGCTATTCATATTTTTTAAATTAATTCCTTTCTCTAATAATATGGGAAGAATAACCAAATATTTATTAGTCCTGTAGTCATTTGTAGAAAATGAGTTTTTAGTGTGCTGTAAATATTCAACATTGTGCAATAACTGTTTTTAATATAACCATAGACAAACCAATTTATTAAATATCATTATTTTCATAATTATTAAAGCATTACAATCTTTAAAATTAAATTAATAATAATAATGAAAAAAACATTAAACTGGTACCGTAGATAACATCTTTTATCAGAGTACAAATTTCAATATACAGGGTGATTCACTAAGTGTACTCATCTCATTTTTTTTATTAAATTTTGCATATATTCAAAATCTTATTTTTAGAATTTTTAAGTATAGCCAAATTCGATATTTCAAAACTCTTAAATTTTCCACAACATTTGAAGAGTATCCTATTTTAATACCGACTTTGGTTTTTCAAATGAGAACTTATATTAAAATTTCTAAAAATAGATGAAGTATTAATTTAAATAAATTTTGGTGTCAGAATATTTGATTCCCGTTAAACCATTGACGAAACTCAAGTTCGACTTTTAAGTTAAGGCAAGAGGAGAGTAGTACTATTAAAACGCGGTTCGCTAATCACTACTCGCCCCTACCATAAGTTGTTGAAAATGAAAAGTTGAATTTATCGTCAACGGTTTGACGGAAATTAAAAACGTTGACACCGATATTTATTTAAATTAATACTTTATCTGGAATTTTAAATTTAGGTTCTCATTTAAAAAACCAAAGTTGGTATCACTATAGGATACTCCTTAAATGTTATCAAAAATCTGAGTTCACGAAAATATCGGTTGTAACTACAATTAAAAATTTCAAAAATCAGAATTATGCAAAATTTAACCAAAAAAATGGGATGAGCATGCTTAGTGAATCACTCTGTATATCTAATAGTAATAATAATAATAATAATAATAATAATAACAATAATAATAATAATAATACTAATGATAATAATAGTAATAGTGCAAACATTAAACATTTTTAATCACTAATTAGTCTTCACTATTAAAACTCAATTAATACGATGTTTCTAATATTGCTAATGACAAGTATTTATAACTTAGTTTTGTAGTTTATAGATCTGTTTATTTCTAGCCAACTATGAACAGCAAAAACCGTTGGAAACCTTAATCGTTTTGTAAATTTACTTTCGTTCGGTAGTAACACGCGTCAAATATATATGAATATTATTTATATTCGATTAACGAACAAAGCTAATAATGTTTTGTACACAGAAATAATACGTAACGCAATAATCCTATTATATTTATCAATTGTATTATTCGAATGCATCTGTATTGACATCAGTTGATGCTTTTCGAATCCATCACGAAATCCATCGTTAAAGGCATGAAACACGTATATTGTACAGTTACAGTTATTGATTGCCTATGTCTAATCGTTTCTTTTTTTTATTAAAATTTTAGTAGACATGGTAATTCTAAAGAGCGTGCCATTGTTGTAGGTGAGAAGTTGGGAAGGTAGAATACATTCCTGTAGTTTTTCAATTGATATCTGTTTTGAAACTATTACTAATGAAAATCAACTATAAACGAAATTTGAATGATTGGATGAAACACTGTAATTTGTACGGCGTTCGTCAAATTTTGAACATAAGATGCTTATTTATATGATGCAAGATTTCTGGTTGAAAAACATTAAACATAATGGACATTTTATTACTATAATTTGACTGTTTTGTCAATACAATTTCCCCCGATTGTTGTGAAAACTGCAAGAAAAAAATCAAAAAATAACATTTCCAATGGTACATGCTTTATATTACATAATATACTGGTATTTTTTTTTTTATATATATATATATATATATATATATATATATTTATCCACGGGTCTTCAAAATACCTCGACTTAAACAGAGTCACAAACACGTATAAGCACAAAAATCTATTTGCAAAATATGTTCGTTCTTAATAAACAAGTATGTGGTTAACTCGTCAGAAAGTTCTCATCATTCGTTTACTGAAAAATTCATACATTTCAAATTCGATTAGAACAAATATAATAAATCCATATAAATTTTTATCGTGTGTAAAAAATGAAGTATTACATTCAAACTGACTGATGTCGTGTTGATGAACTTAAACGTTTTTTCGGTTTTCTTATTTAACTGTAGTCTTTCCAATATTAAGTATAATAATACAAAGATGTGGAATAATGTTCGAAAACGTTTTGGTCAAATTCATTATATTCTTATAGGACACATTTCATAACAGTTTAACCATCGCCAATGCAATTTTTTCGGATAAATCATTCGAATTAAGTGCAGATTACGAGAACCAGGTTCGTGGTTACTTGAAGTCGGAAGTGAAGAAAATTGATTTCAGTGGAAATCCATTGGCTGGTGAATCGGAGATTAATGAATGGACGAACAAAAAAACCAATGGAAAAATCAATAAACTCTTCGACAGTGGTAATAAATCATATTGCACAAATAAATACTAGTTGTTATAATATAATATGGGAAAATCTAATCCAGTATAAAAAAACTGTTAACAAAGTCGTATTTATCGAGTCTCGATTCTCAAAACTACAGGTTTGATTAATAAAAATAGACGGACAGGTTTCTCAATATGGGTAGGCCATTGCTGTAGGTGAGGGATTGGGTAGATAGGATAAAGAGAAGAATGTGTAAACGTATTTTTTATGTGATCATTGTAAACGAAAAACAATTCTGAGCGGAATTCGGTAAAACATAATATTTTAAAAGGTACAATATTTACAATATTCGTTAAAATTTGTTATTTCAATTCTTATAAAAAAAATTCAAAATAACATTACATATTTTTTACTGCAAAATACGACTATGATGAGAATTGTTATATTTTCAAAGCATTTTTCTATTAAAACTATTAATTGACAGTTTCATCTACATAATACTAACCGAATATTGTAAACAACGTAAGAAAATTTCAATAATAAAATGTCTATAAATAGCTCAGAAATATCTTAAATATATTGAACATTTTCCCATGCCTAGAAAAGGTAAATATAAGTCTCTCTGAATATTTTTGTCTTCACATAAAGAAAAAAAAAATTGAAAAAAATACATTTTTTAAATTTTCCCGTTTTTACTACTTTTTTTACCCCGGGTTTTCCAAATTATTATGAAAATTTCCATCAAAAATTTCAAAATGATCTTCTTAAAAAAGAAGGGTATTTTAATTGAAAATTAAACTAATAATTCTGGTAGAAAAGTTTTACACGTATAAGGATAGCTGAAATATTTGATATTTGACTAATGTATATTTGAAATAAATATTTTCTGCGTGTAGAATAAATCGATATTGGACTACAATCGCCAAAATAAATTCTCAAATTGTCGAGTATTTATCACGTATCTAACATAATATTTCGTCCGCAAAAATCTAAGTGTGTGTTTATAGGTACCATTGATTCGAGCACGGTGATGGTGTTAGCGTCTGCCGTGTACTTTAAGAACAAGTGGACAAATCAATTCAAAGAAACCAAGAAAAGTAAGTGGTGTCTAACTGCTAAAGACCACATCGATATCCAAATGATGCACCAGACCGGTGAGTTCACGTACTACAAAGACGATCAGAACAAATTTGCCGCAGTCTCATTACCATACGCGGTATGAATAAGTATAGCCTAAATATATTTAAACCATTTAAGGGAGGGGACTCGATTTTCTTCTTTTCTGAGAAAATCTAAAGTAGCAAGTAAAAACCCAAAAATATTTAAAATTCGTCATTGAAGTACTCAATTGTAATGGCAATAATATGTTTTCAAACAGAACGGCGGTTACAAAATGTTGGTCTTGTTGCCGGACAACATGGATGGTGTCAAAGCGTTGGAAAACTACTTTTTGAGCGATTCCTCGCATTTCTACAATTTGCTAGAGAAACTCACTGTGCACAAGGTCGTCTTAACCCTGCCGAAATTCAAATTTGAATCAAAATTCGATCTCAAGTCGTCCTTAAATAACGTAAGTGTAATACATATAGGTGTATTGACATTTCAATTTAAGTAGAAATATTAATACATTGGAAAGCTAACAGGAAAACCCTATTCACTTCCCCAATCTATAAGAAAAGATGTTTCGGACATGGTTATATTTTCTGAAAAGCCTTGACGAATTAATTTGTATTATTATAAAATTTGGATTAATTTAAACTAATCATATACAAATATATTCTAACAAATAGAGATCGACATAGAAATCTTCCGATTTCGTAACACGTAATATTACAATGCATTTTTTAACCCATTTGAATTATTCTGATAGTTTTTATTTCAAATTTAGTGTATTCAAAATATATTTCGTCATTCAAATAAAGATATTTTTATCGGCGGATTATTTGGAGTATATGGATTTAAGTCTAACTGTCAGGATGCTATTATTGTATTACGAATATTTTCAATTTTGTTATTTAACCATCGGACTTTGTTCGTTCAGTGTTTGTTTTTTGAACATAAATATTATAACATGGACTTTGTCAATTATCGTACCTACTATGCAAACATACCAAAAAAATAACAACTAAACAATTATTTGATTTTAAGAAAAAAAGGCAATAAAAATATAGATTTTTCTTTCATCAAAACGATCAAACTTTTTCGAAAGAATTGATTTCGTTATATGACTACGGTGTATCGGTTTTTCATTGTGAAAAATGATCTCGAATTTTCAAAACTCGCCATTGTTTTGACATTCTTAATTTAAAAACAAACAAAGAACATCGATTAACACTATAGTAACATTGCGTCGGCTTAATTTTGTACATACTTTTCTTTATGATAAAATGCTAAATACTGTTTCACACAGTTGGACTGCGGTGAGATGTTCACCTCGAAAGCCGATTTCTCCAAGATGTCTTCCTCCGGCAGAAGTAATTTGAAAGTTGACAAAATTCAACATAAATCATACGTGGACGTCAACGAAGAAGGGACGGAAGCCGCTGCTGTTACCGGTATGGATACCTATTACAATCGTATTTTTCGGTTTTAAATAATTATTTTCCAAATAATAATCGAAAATTTTGCAATAAAAAACGGCACTAACGCATTTTTTATATTTTTGTAGGTGCCTCCATTGTTTTGTATAGCGCACATCGTTATTTTAATCTCAAGACCGTTAATTTCCACGCATGTCATCCGTTCCTGTTCATTATCGTACAAGGTACCGATATCATATTCATGGGAAAATTGGTCAATCCCAACGTGTAGATTTTAATTTAACATATTATACTTAAATTAGTATATTTTATATTTATCTACCAAAGGCATCATCCGTATAAATAAACTCATATTAAGGATGTGATTTCAACGCAATTTGCATTGTTTTTCCAAATCTAGCTGTGAAATGTTCGTTTTATTGTTTCAATAATCAGTTGAATGTATTTTTCAACGAGAATTAAATAATGTGTTTTTTCGAATTTTGTATAAATATTCCCATTTCAAGTGATTTTATCTATTATTATAATACCCATATAGGGTTTTCGGGCTTGTTGTGAGATCTCCCGACAAACCGTATGAATTTGACATTTAAAAAAAAAAAAAATGTTTGTGTAATATTAAATTATTACCTAAACTCGCATATATCTAGCGGTTCGTTTTATTACAAATTCGATTGTAATAACACGATCGGCTGCGATAGTTCTTTAAGCGTACCAGGTGATTTGTCACGGTTTTATGTGCATTGTTTAGTTTGCAAAAGCTGGCGTACCCGCCCAGTAGATGGTACCCATTGTTTGCGGCTTAAACGACCTTTTTGTCCACGAGGTAATAAAGAAGATTAAACCCCACGTGACTGTGTATGCTAAAAATTAACGACGATAGGTACACCCCAATTATATTATAACTTATAATAATAATATACTTATAATTTATAAGTATACTGCGAAAAGTCGACGGAACGAATCGTTATGAAACGAATGTACAGGATCATAAAAGTTTCGAAATATTCAGTAAAACAATGCATTTATGAACCTATTGAAAATTTATAATAAAAAAAATGAAGTACAGTAAAACACAATATTTTATATATATTATTATCTACTATATCTTATTTAATATAGATAAATTACATTTTATTTTGAACGTTCTCCCTACGAATTTCATAAAAAAAAAGTTTGATATACTTCACACGTTGGTGCAGCCATTATTGTAGGTCGGATGTTGGAAAGTTAGGTTACAAAATGTAATTTAATATATATTTGTAAGCAACGATGAACCATTGCTAACGAAAAAACGTTTTGAATCAACAATATATATGTCATATTATGGGAAAATAAATAAATGAGCATTATATTTTTTCTTTAACAATATTTGTTTAATATTGTACCGATTTTCCTGTTTTTTCTACGTTTTTTCGGTTTTTTATAAATATTTTGGAAAAACTCTTAGGAAAATCAAAAAATAACCTTCTTAAAGTACCTTCCCAGCCAAATTTCCACCAATTTTTCGGCTTTTCACAATTGATGAGGAAATTCCTGAGAAAATCGAAAAATGACCTCACTAAAGTACCATCTCAAAAAAATGTTCTCTCACAAAAGCGTTTATATTGTATATATTGGATTTCTGGCGAAAATGAAAAAAACAATCATTATAAAACTATTATATTCAGAATCTAAAAAAGAGAGCTGATACTAAGGATGTGGCCGCTGTTGAAGGTTAGTAGTTTGTTAGGTTAGATAATAAAGTTATTTGTTATACCTGTAACCAACCATCGAAAACGAAAAACTATTCCATGTGAAGTTAGGTTATACATGTTTTGAAAGGCAACAGGTTAAAGGCTAATATAAACGATTTTCATCAAAATTTAATTTTAAAACTCTTATACAAATTAAAAAATAAAACAATTATATTCAATTAAGACTTATAATGAACCTTTTATACAATTTTTAAGTATTTCTGTTATGTCTAACAATTTTATTTACATAGAATTCATCTACTATATAAAAATGATATTAAATATAAGTTAAATATTTTTAAATACTACCACCCCTTAAAAAACAAATATATTGTTTTTTGTCAAAATGTCAAGTTTCAACGTGTATTTTTAACTGAATCACATTACTTAAATAAAATTCAAGGCACATATATTGTGTTATTGTCTGATTGGAAAAAAAAAATCGCTCTATTTTAGTCTTGGCGCCGTACAGTCGGTCGTGCGGTAAGTAAAATATTTAGTACGTGATTCTCGGGAAGATCGGACCCTCGAAAACACCGTGTCCGATTCGTAAGTTTCGTTTTTGAAACCGGAGACGTCAGCGCTGCAAATAATAAAACCGACAGCGTTGATAATGATAGTCGTTAACGAAATAAGAATGTCTTTGGATTGCCGAGCTCCTTGTCGGAACACTTGACTCCATGAAGGTATGTACCTATTGCAGTGTATAGAATTCTATAGAATTTATTTACATTCTGAACGAACAACGCACAGTGGTAAATTAGCTTTCCAAAACGTACTTTTAAAACAAGGATAGATATATTGTTAGATATCAAAACTGATCTATACAAATTTAAACGGATATAATAAAACAAAAAAAAAAAAAAAATTTTAAATTACCCACGAGCCAACCAGAGTAAAATTTTAAAATAATAATTGTATTCGATAAAAAATAGTTGATTTATCGAATAATATGTTGACTCTTGACCGATAAATAATCAGGTTATACCGATTACCAAATGGATAAAATACTCGTAACGTTGCTCAATTCAATAACATTAAGCTACGTTTGCATTATGCTATTTCCACAGTTCTTCGTGTTGTTGTATTTGCCCTCTAAAAAAACTCCGGTAACAGCGTCGAAACCCAGTATGCGTTTACAAATTGTTCGTAAATTAGCACCCACTGTGCAAAAAACCGTCCCACACGTTCCAGGAATATGTATACATTTTATGTAATAATGTTAAAATAATATTGTTATGTTCCCTGATCGGTTCAAGAATGTAAAATAGAAATAAGAGCAGCATACATTATTTTAAACGCCAACGCAAACACAACGTTTTTTCGTACAATTTTCATTCAAATTATGGCACAACGATTTCGGACACTATTTTACAATAGTGTCGGCTCCAATCCCCGGTATAAGCGACTATTCCTCGATATTATGTACGTTCGTATTGAGTGCACATTGTATTAATTTCCGAATTCCAGACCGGTTTAAAATATCATTTAAAATACATTTTAGATATAGAGCGCAACGAGGGATCTAAACAACTGTCTTTACTATGATTTATATTTTTTTTTCTGTCTTTAAATAACTTTTCGAAAAGCGATTTCGCTCCGATGTATAGTACATTCTATAGAGTGTAGCACCTTTTCTGAAAAGATATTAAATATTTTTGGTGAGTTGGGGAGGTCATTTTTTGATTTACCAAGGTGTTTTCAACACGATTGGGAAAAACAAGGACAAGAAGCAAATATTTACGGAGCGACATTTACGGCAGTTTTATAGTTTTTAACTTTTGGAAATTACATTTTTTATCCACTCAAAACATGACAAAAGATCGATTTTGTTCCTCTTAATATTCAGCCGCTGATCGAGAAAGTCATTTTTATAAATTTCAAGTAGTTTTTATAACGATTGTGAGAAATCAAAAGAGACGATAAAGGCGATTTTTTTTTAAATTATGGCCCGACAATTTCATTACATAAATTGTATAAAGTTAAGATCTTTGTCCAAATTTCAAGAAAAACATATTTTTCATTTTAATTTTACACTGATCGTTATATGAAGTACGATCGTATAGAATATATCGGACCGCTCTAAACTCAGTGTCCCAGGCCTAACCCGAAAGAAAATAATAATAGAAAAAAAAAAAAAAATTAAATTTTCGGCTCTTCGTGGTGGGGATAGGGCATAGGACTTCGGTATCGTTACGGGGCCATTCCGCGCGTATCGGCCGGTAATGTTAATGATAATATTATTGACTGTTGCAGAAAACCCCGCCAGCAGCTCGGCCACTATTAATGTAAATAGTGTTATTGTTGGAATAGAGGGGAAAAAAAAAAACATCTCTTTTACTTAGTCTCGGCGCCGCACAGTCGGCCGTGCGGTAAGTAAAATATATTGTACGCGGGTCTCGGAAATGTCGGCCATTCGGAAACACCGCGTCCGATTCGTAAGTTTCGTTTTGAAACCGGAGACGTCGGTGCCGCAAACAATAAAACCGACGGCGTCGATACACATAATTACGTAATATAATACAATAAAATATACACACACATATTATATTTTTACGTAACTCTGTTATTATCATGCGCCTGATTCTGTACATTCTGAAATGAGAATGTCTTTTCAGTGCCGAGTCTCTTATCGGTACACTTGACTCGATGATAGCGTGTATACAATTATATATAATACATGTATATATATATATGTTTATTCTGAACGAACGACGCACAGTGGTCTGAATCGTAAATTAGCTTTCCGAAACGAATTTTCAAAAACAGTATATATTTATTGTTTGATTTCACAATCTAACATTTACAAAATTAAACGATTGTAATAAAATTAAAAAAAAAATTTTAAATTATCATCCTCGAGTAATTCAGAATTAAATTTCTAGTGGTAACTTATTTCCTAAATTAAAGACAATACATTTGATCGGAATCCAAATACTCTGAACTACATATATACCTAGTCGTTTACGGGATTTCTAACCAACACATATTTCGCTAAGCTCGGAATCTAAAATCGAAAATGACGTTATTGTCATTATTTTCCATGTGTGTCATTCGTTCTTTTTTTTCGAATTATCAAGCAAAATATAAGTTATGTCAAAAAATGATCTCAAAAACCACGCTAAATATAATTTTCTTTCAAAAAAGTTTTTATACTTGAAAGTAGGGAATGTACTATGGAGTATGATTTCTAGTGGAAACTAATTCCGTAGAATAAAAAAAATTCATTCTTCGCTGCGACCAGAATTTAAAAAACTCGGAACTGCAACATGCGTAATCGTTGACGTAATATGACGTTTATGCTGTGTAAAAATAGTTGATTTATCATATAATATGTGGACGACTGATAAATGATAAGGTCATGCCTATTACCAAATCGATAAAATACTCGTGATATTAATCAATTCAATAGCATCATGCTACGTTTGCATTCTGCTATTTCCACAGTTCCCCGCGTCTTTGTATCCGCTCTATAAAAAAACCACGGTGGCCGCGTCGAAAACCACTATGTGTTTACAAATTGTCTCTAAATTGGCGCCCACTGTGCAAAAAACCGTTCCGTACGTTCCAGAAATCGTCCCGGAACATTCCATACATCCTAAGTAACAATGTTAAAATCCCGTTATAATGTTCCCCGTTCGGTTCAAGAATGTCTTATAGAAACGAGAGCAGTATACGGTTTATACGGCTGGGATTCGGAAACTAATACAATATGCGCACAAAACAAACGTACGGACGGAAAAAAGATAAAACAAAATCGGTGTGATTTTACGGTAAACGAACGCGGTCCGAGTAGCGTTTCTCGACGGATTAAAAAATATTTACGTTCTAATAAAAACGCACGGCCACAACGTTACAATTCAATTAGACGGACAATTTTGTATAGCAAATTCATCTAAAAATAACGTAACGGTTATCGGGAGATTTCCGTTTCGGTCGAGTTATTGTAATCGTTCGCGCGACCTTCTCTCCCCGGCGGGTCGCAATTGTCGTTCGGGAATTCGTTTTCGCATACCTGCCCACCGTCCCCCTCCCCACGGAGATATTGTAGTTTGTTTATTTTTTTATTAAATTTTATGTCTAAGGGTCGAGAGGTACCCGGGCCGCTGTATACGCGTAGCAAGACGGCAATTTCGTATTTGGACGGAGATAATATTATGTGCGCATTATCCGGTTTTCCGTCTTCGGGGAATTAGAAATTCCGTCGTATATTATTATTATTTTACGCGTTTTGACCGAGAATTTCAGTTATTTAGCCGTCGTCGTTGTCGTCTGCTACCGTCGTCACCGCCCGAGTACGAACAATTTGCTCGATCCCGGCGTACCAGATTCTAATTTTTTTTTGTTACACCGTTGTAAACTATAAAACGGGAAACTCGGATGCGATACGGGAGTAAAAAAAAAAAAAAAAAACCGAAAACGAGTATAAATTAAGGGCCCAAACACGAGATAGGACCCGGCGCCGGACAATTACTTTTATCCCCGGCGGGCCGGCCGGTACGCGCAAAACGGTACTTACGGACCGAACCTTAAACGCATATTTTATTTTTTTTAAATCGCTAGATCCGAGAAGAGGGGGACCTGCCTTGATGCGTTACTTCCTCCCCGGTCGGTATCGTGTATTGTTTTTCACATTATGATTACTTGATTTTTTTTTAAAAATAAAAACCCCATTTGTCTTTCGCGGGGAATGCTCGCATTTACAGTGTTATTGGAACTGCGTCATACTTTCCGGTAGGCCACACATCGATCACATTTCCGAATAGTGCTTTGAGTCCAAGGACCATAGCTGATACCCTTGTGCAGCTTACGTCGTCTTACCACTACTATACAGACGATTATTATAATATGCTAACTAAATATTCCTTTGATGAAATGTTATAATAATCATCATACTATTATAATACGTTACATGTTGTCGCAAAGGGGCCACACCCACGTGAGCTGACTCCATCTTACGAACGCACGACATACCAAATTTTCGTTTGGCAAAGGCAACTTTATGATGTTCATTTATTGAATTCCGGATAGCAAAATTATACTTGCACACTATTACATGAATAATATAGTATGAATATTTCCAAGAAATTTTAATAAATTATTTAGAATATTCGTATGTATAGTTGTCGGAAAATTTTAGATTCTGAGTGGAGCTAAGAAGCTTATTATAAAGATATTAATATGTTTTTTTTCTGTGGACAACTTTTCTACCAAATGAATTGCTCTGACTTTTACGTGTAGCAACTTTTTTGAAAGGAAATTGATGCGGGAAAGTACCTTAAAGAAGTTTTCGATTTTCTCGAGTTTTGTCATCAAATGCGAAAAACCGAATAAAACGGGAAAATGTACGGAATATATTTGTATAATATTACGAAGTATTTTTTCTGTCGACAACTTTTCTACCAATTTTGCTCCAACTTTTAATGAAAGTAATGTTTCAAAAAGAAATTTCACTGGAAAGGTACTTTAAAAAGGTCGTTTTTCTATTTTCCCTGAAGTTTTCTTAGCAAATCTGAAAAACTTGGAAAACCAGGAAAATCGGTATAACATTAAACAAATATTTTTAAAGAAAATATATAGATCCTTATTAATTATTTTACTATAGTATAGCATATATATCGTTTGCAAAGCATCGCTATCAACTAAACTCCTCTCAGAATCGTTTTTCTCTAAGCAATGGTTTATATCTTTACTTACAGGTATACATTAAATTACCTATGACAGTGGCTTCATCCGTCCTTATTATCCTAGGAAGTTTTTTTTTAATGCATTTTTTTTTCAACTAAACGGTGCGCTATGGACGCTGTTACATATTTGTTTCCACCTAGTGTTTTAGTTACAGACTTATAGGGATC